ATCATTTCTTTTCGAGAGACGATAATGTTTATTAACTAAGACCGTTCACACTTACACAGATATCCTTTTAAAATAAACAGTAGAACTGTATGGACTTTAAAATGTTGAAATTTGGACTATTCAATATCATTAATAGAATGGCCAGGCCATGTCGAGAGAATGAATGAAGAACGATTGACGAAAAAAGTGTATAAGGCGAGTGTGAATGAAAGTGTTGGAAGGGGTAGACCTAGGCGGACATTTCTAGACCAAATCAGGGACGTCTTGAAAAAAGGCCAGGTCAAGAGTACCCTAAACCGTAGAGCATGTATGAAGGGAATAATGAAAGTGGACGAAGCAAAACAAGTATGTAAGGATCGTAGCAAGTGGAAAGAACTGGTCTCTGCCTACCCCTACGGGAAAGAGGCGTGATTATATGTATGTATGTATGTATTAATAGAATCAGGCGTCCAACGTCGACTTTGCAGAAATCCATTATATTAAAGTTGTTAAAAATTGATTAGCTAAGCAAGATCCACGTAATATATGATCTATAATTAGCTAATTAATTTTTAATATCTTTACTATCCGATATCAGATCCATTAAAATAATTTTCAAATGGAAAAATAACAATTTAAGGCATTTATTAAATTGTATTACGATTAATGATTTTTTATGCGAATACTACACATGGAATAAAACTAATTTTACGAATTTAATCATGCCTAATTTTAAATTCAACGACATTACAAAATTCAATAGTACACAAATCCTCGCAAAAATACAGAGAATCCCACAAGGAATGATTTGTGAGGCTACTGATATTAAAAGTATCCCTCATTCGTTAGAAAAAAAAAGGGATAAGCCATTTTCCTGATATCTCGTTATTAATAAAATTAAAATCCAAACCTTATCATACCACTGCAAGAATTCATCATACTGTGATTGTGCGTATCCCAGAACAAAACCTTTTGAAAGCTAGAAAAAAGAAATCAGGAGCAAAGAGAACTCTTTGCTCCTGATTTCTTTTTACTCTTTAATATATTAAAGACATCAGGATGTCGAAAACCTTAGTTCCCCATGACCATAAGTGTTGTAAATCTCTCAAACTTTTTATATCGTTTAAATCAAATACAATAAAATCCGTAATAGATGATTTTTCATAGCCAATTTACACGATAAATTTACAGATTTAATAGATTCATATATATCTTAATAGAATGATCCTGTGGTAGCTATAAATGAAACGAAAATGTAAAAGAATTATTCTGTAACAATACTAATTAAATATCACTTCAAATTCAAGCGATTTAGTTAAACTTGTAGCCTGAGATGGATCTGCAAAAACATCTGTAATTAATCTATATTCATCCAAATTTTTATAAAGAACCTGGTCCTGGCGCGGTGTTGCTGCAGAAGAAAAAATTGCAGAAATATCGTTTCCAATTTACTTATTTATCTTCACGCACAATCCCTGACGGGGTAGCCAGAGAGAACAGATCGCCAAGTGTCACGATCCTTACATACCTCTTTCGCTTCTTTCAGATTCATTATCTTCTTCATACATGCACGTCTAGGTATCCGAGTACTCTTGACCCTACCCTCTTCGAGCAATATGCTCACATGGTCTTCGAAAGTTAGTCTCGGTCTACCTCGACACCTTTTAATATTAACTTTCGCGCTATATATTTTCTTCACCAAAGAATTATATTGTTTAATTTGTAATGATAATACATCCATTGAAATTGAATTATATATTACTTTCAAATCTATTTGCCGGTACGATACGCGCCTCACCAGCTGTAATTTAATGCCTAAACTTTTCGCAAGTGCAAGCAATAAGCTGACAAAGTTCTACTACAACCTGATGAACGGTATGGCAGCGCATAAAATACGAACAAACATCATTTTTTATATATTAGATAACAGACTCATCATTACTAATTTTTATTATCACAATCTTCGCGTGTACTTCTGGCGTTGCTTCGTGACAATGTAGTTGCCGATTTCACTGTCGTTATTAATTTTTGGAATGTTGCATGGTTTTCAAGTTATCGTGGATTCAATGTCTACATGTTCTGGAGGCGAATAGTTGGCATGACGCTTTACTATATTTTATAAATTATCATGGCTATCATTCAGAGCAATATCATTGTCATGATGCAATAACTAGTCCTTTCGGATCTCCCACTCAATTGGAATTTGTAAATATATTTTCTATTCCTTTCACATCAATAACACCATCGATATTATTAAAAACAACATTATAATCACGTACTAATTCTAATTTATAATAATTATTTCATATTCCAGTCAATCTTAATCTATATTTTATAAATTGGATGAAATTTTTGATTTTTTCAAATTGATCCCGAAATTTTCCAATATCAAGTGGGATATCCATTTAAAATCATTTATGAATTATGAAATTTTAAACATCTTTTTTCTCCTTTCCTGCTGCTGTACAGAAGGAGGAGAGAAGGGGACAGTTTGAATCGATCATTACTATACGTAGTGTGTTTAAACTTGTTACAGTTAAACTGTAGAATTGTTGTTCTATTGAGATTTTATTAAGTTAGTACTGCGATTCTTGTGAATTTCGTGAAAATCAAAATTTTCTATGGCCATGGTAAAATTATTAATGTTAAATTACCTATATAACTGCCTATAGCCTAAAATTATAGCTACATATTTATCTAGATGAATTATTGTCGTAGTTGAAGCTTCGATGTTAAGCATACGATAATTTATTGTAAAGATTTCTTAAATCTACATTGTACTATGCTGTAGCAAAATAAAGGTAAATAATATTTCATTGTTTTATTTACTCTGCATGCCTCTCGTATTATTATTTTGCATGTTCTTTTACTCTAAATCGATTAATCAAATCTTTTTGTCATTAAAATAATGTAAAGAAAATACCTAAGTTAAAAAAAAGCTGAGCTTCTTTATTCTTATTTGCATCGTAATTTACGACCAAAACTGAGGTACTTTAAAGTGACGTGTGTCGCCATCTAGTGGTCACGCAGGTGCAATGCCCACCGCCCGAAGCTCCCCGCCACGGGAAAGCGGTGTACACTTCCTGCGCATACAACTCAGTGGTGTCGTATGAGTGCAAGTACGGCTATAGACTGGTAGGCGACGCTACAAGACGTTGTGGAGCGGACAAAAAGTGGTCCGGGACGCAGCCAATGTGTAAAGGTGAGAACAGCTGAATTTTATTCCAATAATGTTTTTTATAGAAGTAACAGTGATTAGAAACGGGCACACCGTTCACCTAATGGTATGTGGATGCCGATTCGCCTTCGCAGGAAAGTTCACATCCTTTTTGATTTATACTGCATACTGTTCAATCTCTCCACTCCACGTTACCTGAAAGACCGCTATCGTCGAGTTCATCTCCCATGATCGTCAACTATGTTCCCCTAACAATGTTTCGCTTCACTCCGGCACATTCATCCTCCACCTTCTATAAATAATTTTCGATTACAACTGTATACTTGTAGAACTCCTTGCCTTTATATATTCGACGTGCTTAGTCCTTTTTTCCTTTAGGAATCTGCTCAAAACTTGGAGCTCTAAATTGCCCATTATGCTTCCCGTCTTTTATTCTATCATAACTATTATCCACTACCATTATCCTGCGTTTTAATTTATATATTTTTTTATTTAATTGCCTAATTTATGTAAACCTTCCCTATTCACCATTTGTTATAACCAACTATTCTTTGCGCAAAACGATTGATGATGATGAAGCGAATCAAAGTTCCAGAGCGATAAGACAATATTCCTACCTTCTATATAATATATTTCATTTAGTGTTCGTTTTAATGTGTATTGGTGTAAAAATAAGAACATGTTTATTGATTTATTGATTGAGTGGATGTTGTGGTCCGTAGACACCTACATCTACACCTTGGCTGTTGGTCCTGTAGTAAAGAGAATCCACTGCCCCGTATCATCATATGCGTGTCGTAAGAGGCGATAGAAGGAAATGTAACAGGAGATAAAAAAGCATGTGTGTGTGTGGTCATTATATCCAACAAAAATTGTTTTTCTTCCGACTTGCTTAACAAAAATCAATATTTAAGGCTAGCTGAGAGGTGTAGCCTAATGCTAGACATCGTATACTATTCCTCAGGAATCTGTCTATCATATACAAAAATATTTTTTCAAATTGGACTGGTAGTTCCAGAGATTAGCGTATTTAAACAAACAAAAAAGACTCTTTCGCTTTATTATATTAGTATAGATTCTATCTTATTGTCATGCACGTTGAATCATATAGATGTATATGTTGGTCTCTATTTAGTATCGCTTTTTCGTTTCATCGCGTCTGAAATCACAACGATACTAAAGATGTATCACTACAATATTAAAAAATAAGCTATCGTCAACGCCAGGCGGGGTAAGCGTGGGCAATCAATGGAGCAAACTATGATGATATTGATTAGCATCTCTGAAAACTAATATGGAATGTCAAGTTACCAAAAAAAAAGGTCTCCCGTCTTCGTCTTTCCATAAGAAACACAACAGCATTATTCTGTTATTTCACACTGGCACTCTGTGTGACCGTGGTGCTTCCCCGGTCGAGTTAACCCAACCGTGGTGCCGAAATAGTAGGACTCTGCAGCCGTCCTCTACGTATATACGTGATATATCTGATGTCATTCAAAAGTATTCACGTACCAATCTTTTAAAAGCAATATTTTTCGATGTTTTTCTAATGTCTTCGGACAAGGAGTTCCAGAAAATTGCAGCCTGAATGGTGAAGGATTTTCCAACGAAATTTATGAAATTTAGTGTGATAGTACGTAACATACGTGATATTCAATAAGTAAACTTAATTACTTCTTCAGTTGAACTTTGATTTCAATATTAATACGATGAATAAACAATTTTGCTTTAAGAAATTAATTGCGGTCATCCGGGTCAACTCTGGAATGGATGGTTGGAAAATATATCTTCGGGAACAGGCCTTGGTGCTTCTATCATCTTTAGATGCCAGGATGGAATGAGAATGGAAGGGAACGGATCAGCGATCTGTCAGAGCGATGGAACATGGAGTCATCCTTTACCCAAGTGTTTAGGTTAGTATTCAATTTTTTTTGTATAGGATAAGGCTAACAAATGAGTACACAGTCCACCTGATGTTAAGTGGTTACTGCGTCCCATAGACATCTACATCTATCCTCGATTACGAATCAAATGCCGATGCGTTGTCATCCGTGAGGACTAAGGTGGAATGCCTCGTTTTCATTAAAAAGGGTCTTCGGTTCTTTACACTCACCATACGAATCACAGCAGCGTTAAGCTGCTATTTTACGCTGGTATTCAGTGCGAGCGTGGTCCTTGCCCGGTCGAGCCGACCCATTCGTGCTACTACACAGTTAATATAGCTGCAGCATGGCTCTACTACGTAAGACGTAAAGTTTGAAAAGCCTTTGCAAAAAGTTGTAAAACTTAATATTGTGAAACAAAAATTACAAATTGAATACGCATGAATCAATATTATATGTTATATATTATGTCAAAGATTTGGTAGAAGAACTTTTGAAATAGATATGGGTGACTAACGAGCACAAAATACTATATGTCCCATTTCCCGTGGTATAGTTCCAAGAATGCTGGCCGCGTTTCCTCGCTGAGTGGATACTAAGCTACTAAGTCTGTAAGCGAGAGAAGAACCATCTCTCTTGTCTCCAGCAGTGACGATCAGTCGCGGAGACGGTTCCTTTAGAAAAGTAACCAAGACAAAATAAAACAAGACCTCACGGACCGATAGTAACTACAACGAATTATTCAAATACGTAGTCATCTCCGTGATACTCATATTAGCACCATATGCTCAGTTCAGTCGGTTCTGATGCCACCCTAAATTCAAATCATCTCAAGAAAAACGGTCGCCAAAGCGCCTACGCTACACACGCCACATTAGGGCTTTGGTTCGATCTTAAAGGATTAAAGTCATACCGTCGTCTTAACGTATCATTATTTTTAATTTATTATTATTATTGATAGACATATATTGGTATTGTACCTTCTTTCAGCTCCCTGCGTCGTTCCTCACGTGTCTCAAGGCAGAATAGTTCGGTTGGAGAATAAAACCGGTGACAACACCACACAAGAGTACACGCAGATTGTTGGAAGCTCAACAATGGTGCAGCATGGTATGTATCAACATCTTTTGTATGACAGAGTAGCTAGAGTAGTAAGTTTACCATAAGAATATCATGACCATCCACGACGTTAACTATTGTATGTTTCTTTCTCTATTATATTTCTTTAGAATCCGTCCAGCCGTTAAAGCGTAAACGAACATCCGAACAAATACGCTTTCATCATCTTTACAGCCCTTCACAAGTCCACTGCTGATGATGATTATCATTACAACCCTTCCCAAGTCTACTAATACATATAGGCCTCCCCAAGAAATGTCACAAAACACAGTCCTGAGCCACATGCAGACTTCCTGCATCTCTTACCAGGTAACTCAAACTCAACCTAGTAGCGCCTTACACTTTGCTCATCAATACAAGGATGCCACTTGAGAACCTTTCTGCCCCATCCCCATTAGCACTTCAGTTTAACAATCCGTTGAGCTATGCCGTTAATCTGGTTCCTCATTCATCATCATTTCTACGTCCATCTTGCAGCAAAACTTGAAGCGTAGCCCTCTTCATAGCGCTACGCTGGGATCTGAGCGACCTTGAGCTTCCACATACGGCAAACATACTTTGTCCGTGGAAGGAAAAGGGTAGATCTCCCGCCGGGCAACGTTTTCTGCCCAGGGAGCGGCCAACGCTCCGTGTGTTATTTTGAAGCTCTTCTATATATAGCGCGTTAACTTCAAAACTTTGATAGCGCGATTTAGGTTTCGGTGCGTTTCGCTTACGGCGCGACGACTACACCGTCACATCACCACCACAATACTTTCACATTCATTATATCAGTAGGGTTGACAACAGGTTAACATTACACCGAAGGTAAGTGAATACTGCCAATGGACATTGGACAAATTTTGTTCGTGGAGAATTGCATAAGAGAAACAAATTTCCGTAGGCAACTGGCTTCCTGACGTTACGGCTGGAGTCGGGAGAGAAGCGCCCCGAAAGATCGACCACGCGCACGGCCGCATGAACTGTGCGGTCATCAGTGTTGCGAAGGATAGGGGTTAATTACGGTGCGCATAACAAACATTTCTCCCCAGCGATTACACCTCCGCTGTGGTGGGAGCAGGGGGAGAAATCCACCATCACGCATCCGAAGGGGGCTTACTAAACCCTCTCACCACCTCAGGCCAGCCATATGGGTTCCTTTTAGTACGCCGATTTGACCAAGCCACGGCGCCCTGCCACAACAACACAAAAACCGACTCGGTGTGGAGCAAAAATTAACATAAATTAGGTCAATGACAGCTAAAACATTAAATTTAGTAAAAAATTACTTTGTCTATATCCGCTCAATAAAGTAAAATTATGTGTCTTACCTAGTTTGAAGAGCACCTCCCGCAATTACGTGCACTATCCCCATCACCACCAATCCTAGCACCACTACACTAGGAAAGACAGGCATCCTTAGGCGAAGTAGACTCTGCGATGGCTCTTCAAACTATAGGTAAGACACATCATTTTATTTTATTGAGTGGATATAGGCAAAGTAATTTTTACTAACTTTATAATAATGGATGGAAGTAACGCCTGATACTATTAATTTAGTTAAAACATTATTTAATTATTGCAGGTGACGTAATTTTAGTAGACTGTGAGAAGAACTACGAGTTTCCGTCCAATAACGTCGCTGTTAACTGCAACAATGGAACCTGGACTCAGATACCACGATGTCAACCTGCTAGGTATGAAATTCTGAAAAAATAATTTGATTAAACTATTGACCCGCCCCGGCTTCTCCTGGGTAGGATCTATAAATGTGGCATCGTTCAGATTTAGGATAATCATCAGAAACCATTCATTTGGTTGAAATTTAGAATCGTTTGGCAGAAGGGGAGGGCAGGGGATGATGGGGAGGGGAGAGGGGAGCGTCCACCACTCTCATTAAAAGGTTCTTGAGAAAAATTAAAAAGAAAATCCCATAGACCTAACCTCAAAATAACATTTATCGTCTCCAGCAGGAGGTGTAAGAGGGGAGCAGGAGTGTGCCCTATCAGGGAAAGCCCCTCTACTCTTCCCTCCTTGCGGAAAACTATAGTTTCTAAAATCATAACCTCACTTTTTACTCAGGAATATTGGCCCAAAGTTACTTCTCGAACAGCTTCGGCGCTGCGGGAAGTGCAGCCCCTTCGCCCTTGCGTAGTGAATCGCAGGCACCCTGAGGGCTGCTCCCCCTCTGCGCCTACGGCATTACAAAAACACTCAGAAGTATGGCAGACAAGATTACGTAGAGTCGGGACGTGCGGGTTTAATTTTAGTACAGATTAGATCAGACCCGATATCTTTTCTATAAAGTCTGGTTGCCTTCGCTCCCGCCACAACCTTTTAACCTATTACAACTGAAAGTATTTCTGGATGTTCAAGTATTTCTGGGTAGTTTTAAGCAATTCAGAAATAAAACAGTATATTATAATCATTTCTTTATTGTCTGTAAACATAATTTATTATTTTTATTAATTCTTCAAAAGGATCTCTTTTATTCTTTATGATTTCTCTTCTCCATAAATATTCATATATCAAGTCAGTAAAATTTTCTCTAATAATATAGTTGTCTTTAGCGAAATATATCCTGACAGAGAGTATAGGCAGTAGAATAATGTGACACTAGTCTTACGTCCTTGTCGCACTTACACAAAATTCTATATGCTATCCAGCTCTCACAGTAATTTTTCCATGTTTTACGCATTTTAGGTTATAATAGTTTTTATTAATTTTTTCGATAACGGTGCATTAGCTTTTAATGCGAGTGGTATTTTTATAATCGGGGACCAAATCTCTACAAAATAAATCACCTTACTCCCCCAAATTCCTGCCAAACGATTCTAAATCCAACCTTTTCATTTTATCAATTTTTCTATTTCTATCAAATATAATCTATGTCACTCCTGACATTGTTCTCTATCTTTTCGTGTATTTTTATTACAATCTGTTCAGCCATTCCAACAAACAGAGACAAAAGGAGTTTTGGCGGGAAATTGACCGGCGGCGGTTTGCTGCTCCTGTATTATTGTTTAAATAATGGTTTGAAGTGGACTTTGATATGTAAAAGTGTTGCGATTTTGTGTATTAAGTGTCTACGCATGTGAACTATTAGTGGAAACAGTGAAACAAGTGCTCTGATGGTGATGGATTCTCAAGATAAGCTGTTTGTTTGCATAGGCACCTTTAGATACCATCGCCAACTATCAGCTGTCTGCTGGATCAAGTTGCCGCCAAAATCTCCCAAGAACTGCACAATGTGACGCATCAACATATTGTGAAGCAGTATACTATGAAGGAGTGGGGAAATTACAATAAACCGAATAAAAATACTTAAGACTTGGCCTAAATACCAGGCCATAAACTCCAAAAAAAAAAAAAACAGAGACAAAATTTTTCAAAATGGTTTTTTATGTATTTATTGCATACAAATAACCCCCTTAGCAATAAAAGGTAGTTTCGATATTACTGACAGACACTTCAATATTATTTATATGTATAGAGTATATAGAATATGTACCTACTATTTATAGATAAGATTGTGTTGATGTTAAAAAGGCTTACTACAAAATACAGTAAGGCACTGGGGACAGTGGCCAATATACTTAAGCTAGTGAAGAGGTAATGTAATCCACTAGGAAACTAGGTTTGTTGTCCTTACTATGGCCTTTAGAGTTGACAATAATCCGATACATGTGATATCCGTCTGTTACTTCTTCTTAGTCGTGTTCTTCATTACTGAAGGTCGTGTCCGTAGTTTAGTGCCTTTGTAGCGCTGTTCACTGTAGCCCTCCATTCTGTCCGGTCCTCGGCTCTTCGCATTGCGGTCGTAAGTGGAAGGCCAGTAAGTGATTTGACCTGGTCCGATCAGCGGCTAGATGATCGGCCGCGTGGTTTTTGCCTACGAGTATAAGTCAATCCAAGTTATTAGGCGGGTGTCGGGCACAGTCTGTTACAATATCACCAAATTTCTGAGTGATCTGTCTAGGTGGTACGACTTCTTTTCTGCCACGAGTCCGTCAGGGTATATTTCACTTTCTTATCTATTTCTGCCACCAAGCTGCTGTGCTTGTTCTCCTGTATTCCAGTGTGAAGTGTGTAGGTGTGTCCTAGGCAAAACAGTATAAAGTTTTTTTTTTTATAGGATAGGGTGACAAACGAGCACACAGTCCACCTGATGGTTAGTGGTTGCTGTGGCCTATAGACATCTACATTTATCCTCATTGCGAATCAAAATGCAGATGCGTTGTCACCCGTGAGGACTTAGATGGAATACCTCTTTTCCAGTAAAAAGGGTCTCCGGTTCTCTACACTCACCATACGAAACAGAGCAGTATTAAGCTGCTATTTAACGCTGGTATTCTGTGAGAGCGTGGTGCTTCCCCAGTCTAGCCGACCCATTCGTGCTACAACTATACTACTAATATAGCTGCAGCATGGCTCTACCAAAGTGATATATTTTATTAAATAAAGTAACAAAGAACTTACATTCCACCTGATGGTAAGTGGCATCTGCAGTCCATGGACTGCAACCAACTTTAAACAAAGAAGACTAAAAATACGCTCTCTCAGGACTTTGAGGACTGAGGGCCTACAGATGATCTATCATATCTGAGGACCTTCTATACCCTTCAGATGGGAACACAGGGCATGCACTGCCGCTTAGCGGAAGAAATAGGTAAAATGGTGGTACCTAACCAGACTGCCTCCTAGACAAAAAAGAAGTCCAACCACCTAGTACATAAAGCTAGTTATAAAACTTACATTTGGACGTAGTTATATCTTCGCGGAGATGTCAAAATAAGTAGATCTGTATATCTAACTCATTTTTGAATGACTTGCGGGTTGGAACGTTTTTGTATAACTACGTCATATGAAGATGTCAAAATAAGTATATCTGTATATTTAACTCATTTTTGAATGACTTGCGGGTTGGAACGTTTTTGTATAACTACGTCATATGAAGATGTCAAAATAAGTATATCTGTATATTTAACTCATTTTTGAATGACTTGCGGGTTGGAACGTTTTTGTATAACTACGTCATATGAAGATGTCAAAATAAGTATATCCGTATATTTAACTCATTTTTAAATGACTTGCGGGTTGGAACGTTTTTGTATAACTACGTCATATGAAGATGTTAACATAAGTACATCTGTATATTTAGCTCATTTTTAAATGACTTGCGGGTTGGAACGTTTTTCTATAACTACGTCATATGAAGATGTCAAAATAAGTATATCTGTATATTTAACTCATTTTTAAATGACTTGCGGGTTGGAACGTTTTTGTATAACTACGTCATATGAAGATGTCAAAATAAGTATATCTGTATATTTAACTCATTTTTAAATGACTTGCGGGTTGGAACGTTTTTGTATAACTACGTCATATGAAGATGTTAAAATAAGTACATCTGTATATTTAGCTCATTTTTAAATGACTTGCGGGTTGGAACGTTTTTGTATAACTACGTCATATGAAGATGTTAAAATAAGTACATCTGTATATTTAGCTCATTTTTAAATGACTTGCGGGTTGGAACGTTTTTGTATAACTACGTCATATGAAGATGTCAAAATAAGTATATCTGTATATTTAACTCATTTTTGAATGACTTGCGGGTTGGAACGTTTTTGTATAACTACGTCATATGAAGATGTCAAAATAAGTATATCTGTATATTTAACTCATTTTTAAATGACTTGCGGGTTGGAACGTTTTTGTATAACTACGTCATATGAAGATGTTAAAATAAGTACATCTGTATATTTAACTCATTTTTAAATGACTTGCGGGTTGGAACGTTTTTGTATAACTACGTCATATGAAGATGTTCACATAAGTACATCTGTATATTTAACTCATTTTTAAATGACTTGCGGGTTGGAACGTTTTTGTATAACTACGTCATATGAAGATGTCAAAATAAGTAGATCTGTATATTTAGCTCATTTCTGAATGACTTGCGGGTTGGAACGTTTTTGTATAACTACGTCATATGAAGATGTCAAAATAAGTAGATCTGTATATTTAACTCGTTTTTGAATGACTTGTGGGTTGGAACGTTTTTGTATAACTACCTCCATTTGAAAACGAATTATATTTATATATACAGGTGCAAGAAAATGCCGAAATACCCGAGAAACGGAATGGTGATAGCTCCGAAAACTGAACACGGAATGAAGGCGAGATTTAGATGCAAAGATGGATATGAGCTTAAAGGCAATCCTATAGTCGTTTGTTCCTTTGGGAACTGGAGCGGGGAGACACCACGGTGTGAAGAAGGTATCTAGACGAAAACACGTGACATCATTATTACTATAAAGGACCATTATATTCTTCTTTCCACGCTGTGGCTTTTATTAACTTATTTATTTATTTAACAACAGTACGCGGTCAAGCACATTCGTTACCAGCTCTTTAATATTGATTAAGGTGTATTTTTAATGTGTATCGTAGTTTAGAGAACTTTTCAACAAATAAATTTATTTTCATTATTAAGAAAAGCCCAATAATTTTATTTTATTAAATACAATTTCTTTGACCAACATAATAATTGTTTTAATAATTTTAATACCTTTGTACTTAATGATTGATGTGGAATTGTTTTTTTTTTTAATATTTCAGTCATTGAAGACTAGCATTTTGATAAAATTTAATATATTATAATAATTTTACGCTATAAAACTAATAACCACTATTGTATAATTTTTGTGTATTGCATTCGCTATACTAAACAAGAACAATCTAACGGGGAAAAAATATAAGGAGATAAGGAATGAACTAATTTAAAAATGTATGCTATTTGCAGTATTCTGTCCTTTCCCTGGATATATAGAAAATGGAAAAGTACTTCTAGTTGGCAACATGGGATTATACGATTATCGACCATATGTGAAAAAGGTAAATATTAAAATGTATAATTAGGATGTTAGTCGTAATATTCATTATAAAAACCTTTGTTTTTATTATAGGTTGTGAACAATAAACAAATTATGTACGAGTGTGAGAAGGGCTACGTTTTATCAGAAGGTCCACCAGGAGCAACGTGTATTGGTGGACATTGGAGCCCAAGGGAATTACCTAAGTACGTTTTTTAAACCGTTCACAACAATACAAGTGCCATATTAATGATACATAATTTTAAATTTAAAAATCTATACGAATAAATACCTTTTTACAGATGCACACTTTACCAACACCCTCGTATCAGATGGAGCCGCAGACGAAGATCCATTCCAGAACCTGAAATACGTCACAGAAGGTCTGCGTACCTTCGTCAATATTATAACAAACTTCAACGACAAAACGATCCTAACCAAGACTACCTCAACCAATTGTACAATAAATACAATCATGACACACCAAAACCAACCTTAAGACATGCAAATTTTAAATTAATGAAGAAATTCGATCTAGATTCGGAAGAAGAAGATGAAATGACAGGATCAAACATTCAAAACGATGGAGAAAACTTTCCTACGGCCGTTTACACAGTCTACAATGTTCATGGAGAACCAATTGGTCATAGACTCTATGCTTATCAGCCTGTGTATGAACCTGAAGAGGAAGATAGAGATCATCACGAAGATGTTTCGGAATATGAAGATTCTGAAGAATTTGATATTGATTCACCATCGCATATGACAATTCTCAAAGGGGGACTATTTTCAGATCACGAGTTTGCTACAAAAGACGAAATCGCAAACGGTATAAACGCATTGAAACATCAATATTTTGAAAGGTACATTGATAAACGGCATAAAAGATACTTAAATCAAAATAATACTGATGAAATTAAGAAAGACTTATATGTAGATTTACAAGGTTACGAAAGCAAGAATGTACAAACATCAACCGAGAAAAATCAAATATTATCAAGAATAAAACGTCATATTAATCGTGAGGAATCAGGCACAGAAATCTCGACTCTAAGTCCGATTGCTAAAACGTCGACTTTACATCATGACATCACAGATATTCTTAAAGTGATTCCATTAAAGCATCGAAATGATAAGTCTAGTAACGTTCCTGAAAAAGAAAACGCTGTTATTCCGATACGGTATAATAAGACTAAATCAACTGACGTTGATAATATTTTAGAAAAACGCGATAAGAGAACAAGCAGAAAAACAGATAGATTAAATCAAACAACAGCAAGCGTTCCGAAAACGTAAGTAAGCTAAATTCCTAATCATCATCATCATATCATTTCCTAAATATTTATTAAAAATTGATCTATGTCACATGTCAAGTGTACAAGTTAATGCTATAGGACACAAACCAAGTTTAAATTATATGAGGGTTTGGGATTAATAGGGATCCTCAGACTGTTCCAATCTAGGGAGCGTAGTTCAGACGTCCATTACGTCATCAAATATATATTTTTTTTTTCAATTCTAAATTTGTTAAGTTTACCGCCGATGACATTGTAGAAACTTAAAATTTCGCTTGAGAATATCAAAATATAGAACTCAGGGCGCCTGCCGAGAACATCTTATGATTCCAGGAAACCTTGCTCATGACTTACCATACATCACTTCTGATTGCAATAATGACGCACAACCTTCCTATATTGGATCAGAAGCGCAGTAACAAAATCACAATGTACTATTAATGCTTTATACATTCGCATCTTTATCGTTATCTTTATATATTCGCTTTTATACATTTGTTGATTCTGGCTGAATTTGAACCAAGGATCTGTGGTATTGTTCTCTGCCCGATCTTCAACACACAACAAGAATATTCCTAATAAATACTAAATTTTACAGAGGCCGAGAGAGCAAAGGAGGTCGAACTCGATCACAAGCTGAAAACTTAACTGAAGGCGAGCTTATAACGGAAAATAAAAACGGAACTGAAGGTGGTAACAAAACCGAAAACGGTGAAAAGGGAAAGAAAGGGCGGCCCAAGAGTCCTTGTGAACCGATAGAAAGCGAGCCGTATGTTAACATCGAAATTGTAAAATATGGTCGTGATCCAAATAATACGTTTAGTTCTGGTAAGATCTCCACCGATGTTCTGAGTATTTTTGAAAGATTTATTTTATATGTATACGGAAAAACTTGCGAAGAAACGTTGAGGAATTTTAATATTCCTTGTACATTATTTTTTAATATCTTCGTGAATCCAGTGTCTCCTAGCACAAGAAAATGTACGCAGGTAGCCTTAGAAACGAATTGTGAGCCAATAGCCTAAATTTGTGAGTTTTATTGATTTCTACAAGGACTTAAATACGTGGTACAGCATGCTGCAGCTATATTAATAGTATAGTTGTAGCACGAATGGTTCGGCTCGACCGTGGAAGGACCACGCTCTCACAGAATACCAGCGTAAAATAGCAACTTAATGCTGTTGTGTTTTGTGTGGTGAGTGTAGATAACCGGAGACCATTTTTACTGGAAAAGAGGCATTCTATCTTAGTCCTCACGGCTGCCATTTAAAGTGACAAACGAAGATAGATGTAGATGTCTATGTGCCACATCAACCTAAACGCAAACCTAAATCTCGCCTGATGACAAGGCTAACTAAGATGTTTCAACACAACATATAAACCGACAATCGATAGGAAGGAAAGTTTTTCGACTTGCAGCCGGAATCGTAATCGGAGTGTAAGATGTGGGTCTCCGGTTCTCTACACTCACCATACGACGGAACATATCAGCATTAAGCTGCTATTTTACGCTTGTATTATGAGAGAGCGTTATTTTACGTTTTATATAGCGTTTTATACGTGGTAAAGCCATGCTGCAGCTATATTAATTGTATAATTGTAGTACGGATGGGTCGACTCGACCCCCCGGTCCACGCTCTCACGGAATAGCAGCTTAATGCTACTGTGTTTCGTATGGTGAATGTAGATAACCGGAGATCCTTTTTACTGGAAAAAAGGCATTTCATCTTAGTCCTCACGGCTGACAACGCATCTGTATGTTGATTAGCAAGCGAGGGTAGATGTATATGTCTATGGGCCACGGCAACCACTTACCATCAGGTGGACTGTATGCTCGCTTGTATCCCTTATCCTATAAAAAATAGGAGCAAGGTCCTTTCCCTGTGAGCTGACCCGTACGTGCTCCAACTATGATATGGCTGCAACTTGGCTTTACCACGTTAGCGTCGCTCTAACGTTGCTTATAATAAAGAAGTTATACATTACCACTAAACTTGTACTTGAGTGAACTCTCTTACGCTGTCAGTATCCATCTACGCGTCTTAAAGAAAACAAATCCTTAAACTAAGGAGGTATCTTAAAATTTTATGACTTTTTAAGGAGAAAATCAAATTCAAATATATAGAAGTATTATAAATTTTTGTCTCTTCTTTTAACTATATTCTAAGATTCTGTACAGGGTTATTTTTCAAAGAGTGGCCAAATTTTAAACTTAAGTTCATATATATAAATAATGATATACCATTATTGAAGTTTTTGAAAATACGGGTAAATAAGGCTTCTACTTTTAGTTGAAATTATCCCAAATTAAATGTGATTTATGGGCAACAACGTTTTTTCCTACCGATCGACCCTTACAAATGTTTGCGTGCGTAGTAAAGTCAGTTAAAATAATGCATTACCACGCATTTTGAATTTAAATGATAAAAAGGACAGAATGTTTGAGATTCTTTTTAATTAATTTTTCTTCACCATTTGCGTGCATTACTTATTCTGAAGGTCAGTCATGGAAAATAACCCTGTATAAATGAATACATCATTTAAATAAGATTACAAAATGTAATACTTTTGAAACTTTTCAGGGACAATAGTTAGAGTGGCTTGTGGCAAGGGTTACGGTCTAAATTTAGATTCAAATGCTACAGCGAAATGCGTTCGAGGAAGATGGAAACCGGACAAGCCTAAATGTGAAATCCGTGAGTGCGATTTTGTTCCTTATATAATTAGATATATGAAATATTTTTGTATTTACCTCTTACCCCTGGACTTATATATTCTTTTTAAATCAATGCTCTTACTTATTTGTGCCACAAAATAGAAGTGCTTGCACCACAGTTATGCAAAAACGCGCGGGAAGGCGCGCGAATTCGCGGGAATGCTTCGACTTCGCGACTTCTTTTTTTGATAAAACTATTTTTTACGGATTTTATCGCGTTTAATTTACTATTTTAATTCCCGAAGTTTCGGGTGCTTTACAGCAACCCATGGTCACGGGGGGGACTGAGATGTTTGACGTCCCGATGTCAAAGTTAGCCCGGCCACCTTCAGTTTTTTAATATTAATTTTTGGTTAAATTTACGCAGAATGAACTTACAGTATTTTGAAGTCATGCAGTGGTATGTTTGGGTTTGGATTTAATTTTGTTAATTATAGGATCCCAAGCAGATGGCAGCACCCATCCATCTTCTCTATTGAAATTAGGATGTTTTTTTTAATTTCAATAGCTTCGCGTATCATCCATGGTAGGAATCGGTGTTCTTTTGCGAGGATTTGTGTTCTATCAAATCTGATGTAATGGCGGGGACGATCTTGAACATGTTCACAGACTGCAGACTTCCCAGAGCGTCGGTGCTTCACGTCAGCTATAATATGTTCTTTCACGCGCGTTTTAATGGATGTCTTTGTTTGCCCTATGTAAGAGAGACCACATTCGCAATCAAGCTTGTAAACTCCTGCATCTTGTAGAGGGATATTACACTTGACGGATGATAAAAATTGACTAATCTTCTTCGGCGGCTTGAAGTATGTTTTAATAGAAGCTCGCTTCAAAATGTAGCCAACCTTGTCCATGACTCCTCTGTCATAGGGTAGTACAGCAGGCACACGCTCGACTGTGGTCGGCTTCACTCGGTCACTGTGACGTAGGCGCGGGACCCGAAGCTTGTTGTCTTGCAGTACTTGCTCGACGTGCTGAAGCTCGTCAGCCAGATGTTTTCTGTCACAGATCCCTCGTGCTCTCTGAAAAAAAGATTTTCCCACGGTAGCTAACTGTGATGGATGATGGTGCGATTCACCATTTAAATATCGGTTGGTATGCGTCTTTTTCCTATACACAGTGTGAACAACAGTGTTATCAGGATTTCGGATGACTAAAACATCTAGGAAAGCTAAAAAATTGTTTGCCTCTAACTCCATTGTGAATTGTATTTTAGAGTTTATGGAATTAAGGTGGTCTAAAAATGCAGTTACTTGGTCAGATGGTAAAATTATGAAAGTATCATCTACGTACCGCTTGTAAAATTTTGGATTTACAGAGCAGTAAGAAGGGCTTTCTCCTCAAAGTCCTCCATGAATATGTCGGCGACTATGGTAGATACAGGTGAGCCCATCGCCACTCCATCTACTTGCTTGTAGAACTCCTCCTTCCACAATAATTAGCCAGATGTAAGGCAGTGTTTGAGTATGACTGCATATTCTGTAGGCATGTTGTTATCTAGTAGGCATGCTTCCTGGTTACAATTGAGATGCAGTCTTCAATAGGTAAGCATGTAAAAAGTGACTGAACATCAAAACTGACCATAGTTTCATTGTCAGCGAGATGTAGGTATTTTATCTCATTAACAAAATGGTACGAATCCTTTGTGTGTGCTCTAGTTTGTCCTCTCAGTGGTGACAAAATTTTTGCCAGGTGTTGAGCCAACTTATAAGTTGGTGAATCGATTTGGCTCACTATGGGACGTAGTGGAGCGTTTGGTTTGTGTATTTTCGGTAACTCATTTAACCTCGGTGGTTTGGTACACGGTGGTATTATCGAATTTACGTCGAGATTTAATTTTTCGGAGTAATTCTTTCTTTCTTTTTCCTTTTTTCTTTCGGAGTAATTCGTATTAAAAAACTGAAGGTAGCCGGGCTAACTGTGACATCGGGACGTCAAACATCTCAGTCCCCCCCGTGATCATGGGTTGCTGTAAAGCACCCGAAACGTCGGGAATTAAAATAGTAAATTAAACGCGATAAAATCCGTAAAAAATAGTTTTGTTCAATGTGTAGTGTACGCGTAAATATAAGAAATCATTATTCTTTTTTTGGCTCATATCTAGTTCGCGCGTTACACAATTTACATAATTTTTTTTTTACTATGTACAACTTCGTTACAAAAATTCGCTTCCATTCCGTTCTTAGGCTCAATGTAAATTGAGCCTAAAAAGCTGTGTAACATGACTGCTTCGTGGCGCTTGAAATTGCGACGCTGAGAGCGATGAATTCGAATCCCATACGGAAAATTCATTCATACGGTCTTTAAATAATTGTTCAATGCCTGGATGTTTGTCCTTGTGCAATTTATGTATCCTCCACGATAAAGGGGAAAACCCTAGTGTAGTTACGGATAATATTAATTGTGTAACGTAATTTTTTATAAATTGTTCTTTTCTTTAAACTATCCGCTGGGTTTCTTGCTGATACTTCCCAGGACAGAGGTATTTTCCGAACCAGTGGTAAAATTAATAAAAAATACTTTCAATGAGAAATATTTATTATATATATTGAATAAAAAACTTTCTATTCTATTGTTTTATATTCTATGTTCAATAAAAAAGAAAAAAGTTTAATAACAGGCTTCGAGGCATTCCATGTTAGTCTGTATGTCCGTTTGTCACTTAAGTTTTATAAAAAAATTGTTATGATTATTATAAATTGTAACAAAAAAAAATAAAAAAATATGTATAAATTTGTATGGACATATACTTGAATAAATTATGTTTTTAGTTCCATGCCACGTGCCAACTACAGAGTACGGTATATATACCATGGCTCCAGAGAGTGGACAATCAGCTGGCCAAATAGGTTTGGGTCTTAATCATGGTGAGGAAAAGGAGCTAAACGAAACAGATCCCGTTCCAAATGGCCAAGTCGTGCATTTTTCTTGTGAATATGGGTAAGTGAAATGTTTTTAACAAGGGGTGAAGCATAGTATATTAAAGTGACAATCATCTATTTTTTTGTTACTTACCATTGCTCTTCCCTTTTTTAAGTTCAATAAAATATCCTTCTATTTTATTAAGAACTAGCTGTGCCCGCGGCGTAGCTCGCGAATATAGGTTTTACTTAAAGAATTTGACGTTTAGGGTAAGAGAATATTAAACGATTTATATCATTACTGTATGAATAAGTGGTAACAAAATAAATCGATACGCTCAAAGTTCTAAGTTGTTTATGATAGAGCTTCCGTGTAAACGACGATAGAAGTAGACTTAGCCGGGGCGTACAGAAAAAGGTTGGCATAGAGTTGGCCATGTGCAAAACAATCAGTACTGGGGTCCACTCCTACAACGCGTAAAGTTTGACCTTGCGCTTTATTTACGATCGTCGCATAACACACGCTGAGTGGGAAACACACTTAAAATAGGGATGTTAGATGATCATCGATGTTAAAAATTAAAACTTCGATGTTTTAACATCGATGTTGACACATGTCAAACATCGAAACATCGACGTCAATGAACCCATAATCGATAATTGGGAACTTGCAAACAATGCGAACTCGCGAAATCAATATCAACTAAATCTTGCATCTGCTCTGAAGATTAAAAATTTTGAATAATTCAGAATTCCTGAACGCATCGTTAACCTAAAAAAATGTCAGTATGGTGAGTCAAACTTAATTGTCAAGTGTCATCTGTGATGTCACAATGGTCACTGCTTTCGCTTTATTTTGTAGTGTTGTTGTCGGTTGTCGCATAATAACTATTCTACGTAAATTGATATTCAAGTTAATTGTTACTTTTCCCTTGATGTGTATACCCACATAATTTTAAAACAATGTGTAAGTATCTACACGTATACAAAAACCATCGATAATGGTCATCATCGATGTTTTGAGTAGCCTAAACATCGAACATCGATGTTGAGCTATCGATGCCAACATCGATGTCATCATCGATGTTATAATGTTATTATCCGTATCTTAAAACTGTAAGGAAAGTTATTTGGTATTAGAGGTTTAGAGGGATTCTGGGTATAAAACAATATCACGACATTTATTGCAAATTTACTACTTTTAGTCGAGTTTTCGAGTTTTGTTGAATAATTTCGACGTACGTACGTCTCTTTTTTCTGTTTCTGCCGGTGTTTGTGCTTTGTGTTGTTAGCCTACACGGCTCTAACAGGCTTGCAGCTTCGTCGGACTCATGAACATAAATTTTTTCAGTGAGTGTCAATACGATTCACCTGCGAAAAATCTTAACACCGCAATTCAGAAAAGGTTGTAATTTGTACAACGCCATCTATTACGTTCTTTGTGAGAAAACATCCTTTTTTAATTTAAGGAAAACATATTTTTTTTACTGTGTTTTAAGTATAAATATATTATAATAGAACATTTTTTTTTACACACGTATCTTTTTATTACTATTTCTGAGATTTTGTGGCGCCATTAAACAGATTCGAACCTACATTTCAAAATAATAATCATAACTTTCGATAGAATTAACCAATTTTAATAAAACAAAGATTAAATGTAACTCGAAGATACGCTTTATGATTTTCTTAACGATTTCTTTGAAAAAAAAAAGATGTTTACTTTAGACGTGATGCTTTCATATAAAAACAGACAGAAAGACAATTCTAAAAATTATAAAAATGTACTTATTTAATTATTTTTAGTTCCCCATAATGATTTTAGTCACCATAATATATATATACAATGTACAGAAAGAGACACAACATGTTATCATCATTTTTATTATATGTATATATTTAAAGAGAGATGGCGCTGCTAACATCAACTTGATGACTCAAACAAAGCCACCGTTGAGCAAATTCCCTACCCATACTTCAGAATATTTATCATAACTTTTGATGGAATGAACCGATTTTAATGAAATAAAGACTAAATGTAACCCGAAGGTTTACTTTATAATTTCCTTAACAATTCTTATGATATAAATTAGTACTTTAAACGTGATACGTTAACAAACAAACAGACAGACAGACAGACAGACAGACAGACAGAAAATTCTAATAATGGTAGAAATGTATTTAATTACTTATTTTTAGTACCCCTCAATCACTTTTATTACAAAAATATAAAATGTACAGACATCTGCTATTTACAGTTTTATTATATGTATAGATAAGGGTGTAAAAAGTTTGAAGCGTCAGTAGCAGTGGCAGGGCACGGACCGCAAACTCGAAAGGTCGTTGGTTCGAATCCGGCATTCAACTACTGTAGTGAACCACTTCTAACACAAAAAACTTTAGCTTACCAGAAGTGGTTACAAGGAATATTAGTATAATAGCATAATAGTATATTTCTTATATTAAAAAAAAAACGAGCACACTGGATGCTGTGACCCATCGACATCTACATCTATTCTCGATTAAGAATAAAAATGTCGTTGTCACTTCAGATTTTTTTTAAATATAGAATAAGAGTGACAAACGAACACACAGTCCACCTGATGGTAAATGGATAATGTGGTCCATAGACATCTTCATTTATCCTTGATTGGAAATCAAAATGCAGATGCATTGCCACCCTTGAGGACTAAGGTGGAATGCCTCGTTTTCAGTTAAAAGGGTCTCCGGTTCTCTACACTCACCATACGAAACAAAGCAGCCAAGCTGCTATTTCACGCTGGTAGAGCGTGGTCCTACCGCGACCGGCCCATTCGTGCTACAACTATACTACTAATATAGCTGCAGAATGGCTCTACCACGTATAAAATAGCAGTTTAATGCTGCTGTATTTCGTATGATGATTGTAGAGAACCGGAGACTCTTTTTAATGGAAAAGAGGCATTCGATCTTAGTACGCATCTGCATTTTGATTCTTTATTGAGGATTTTTTTCAATATATTAAAAATTCACCTTTATCGATACCGTTAAATCCTATCAAAATCCTACCGCTGAACATAGTCCTCCCCTATAGATTAGCTCGTAAGGGGGATATTTGTCATAGTTGCCACGCTTGGCTAGCGGGTTGGCAACCGCAGTTTTTTTGAAGTTGCTATAAGGTTAACCATGTAGTGGCGGTGAAAGAATATCCACTACCCCATATCGTCCCGTGAGTGCCATAAGAGGTGATAGAGGGAAACTGAAACAGGAGATGGGCAGCAGCATCTTCCTGACAACAATACTAAAGCAGTGGACTTTTATAGATTGTAATGGATGGATAAGGAGGACGCTGGTTATCTCCTGATTTGTTTCCCTCTGTAACACCTCTTACGACATCCACGGATCGATATTGGTTATACCGCCATTACAAGTTTATTTAATATTTACAGTAAATGCTAATTCAACTCATATTTAGGTACAACGTGCAAGGTCCAACGAACCTTCGATGTTGGCTGGGTGAATGGGCGGTTACCAGCATGCCGGAATGTGTTGCAGGTATGCCTAAGAAATTTCAGATTGTAATACATACTACTGGTCCGGCAGACGTTCTACCCTTCCCGGTAAATGGCGCAATGATTTTCACTCTAAATCCACTCCGGACTTTAAAAGTTTTACTATAAAAATGTATTAATAACTCAACCTTAGCGCGACCTATTGAGTCCAAATTTTGTGATTTTCTTTTAGACATTAAACCAAGAAATATTGCGAATATAAGTCATTTTCGTCCATGAATTAAGAATTAGTTAATATTTTAGCTACACCGCCATCTATCGGATTCTAGGTAGGACCATTGTTTTGTCAAAACGAAATAAATATTGTATTGTGTGAATATGACCTCAATCGGTGAAATCATTCAGATTGCAATCGCACCAACGATTATAATATACAGGTTGTTACAAAACTACCCGTAAAGCCGAAAGCAGGTTAAATGGGGCCTTATAACGAGTCCATTCACAATATTTAAGAACCGTAGTAACGCTGTATAACATACCCCAAAACAATAAAAAAAAATATTATTTTCACTGATGTGCAAACCCTATTTCAGTAAAATTAAAGAGTAAACTACGCAGAATGTAGTAATTTTTAACTAATTCGCGGAACGACAAGAATTTTAAAAGACCTAACCTTACGAAACAACCTAAACGAACACTTACTTTTTCATAATGAACGTCAAATTTACAGAAACGGCTCAAAGTGTGCTCCTGCTCCGCCTTGCTCAATACACAACCTCGCTCGTCGGGATATGGCTTGTGTGGCATTTCGCACCATCGTCGGTATTATTGATGCGAAAACCGATCACACTCTGTTCCGTCTCGGCAACCGTTGGGCAATCAGAGAAATACACTCTTTAATAGGTTAAGATGTTCTCGTACGTTGCGAGCAAAATGTGCCGGAGCTCCATCATGCTGAAACACCATGTTTCTTTGGTTCTCAAAGTTATCCCAGTCAGTCACAGGAAAGTCGTCAATCGCCTCTTCGAATTCCGTTTGTAAAAACGTTAGATAGTTGCTACCGTTCAGACGTGATGGCATAATGACGGGACCGATGACATGCCCGTCATAAAAGCCAGTCTACACATTCAGCCGCCTCTGGTGTTGGAATCTGCCCTGTCGTAAAGCATGTGGATTCATGCGAGCCCAAACGTTATCGTTATGCATATTTGAAAGTCCTGACCTCGTGAATGTTGCCTCGTCCATCCAAAGCACATAGTTTACGTAATTAGGATTTTCTTCTAACTGCCTGAGGTACCACTCGCAGAAGTTCCTCCTGGGTGCAAAATCGGAGGGTATCAGCTCCTGCGTACGGCGATAGTGACGGATGACGATTGTCGTCACGAACAATTCGCCAAACTGCAACATGGTTTATAGCGAATCTTGTTCCGGCTCGCCTCGTACTTGAGGTCGGCTCTTCTTCAAAATGCTCTGACACTAACTCAGCCTGCCTGGCGTCGACTGTGCTTGGACGTCACTTCCAGTAGACCGATGAAAAGAGCCGGTGAAATGTAGTCGTCTTGACATGTTCAGAAAACACTGGTACGAAGGCAGCCGTCACTGTTCAGTGGGGAGTATAACATCGATAAATCGTTGCCGATACAGTTCGCGAGCACGATTTAAATTGCTATCTTCATGGCCTACGCATAACATCATATCGTAATATTCCGAGTTAGAAAGCATCGTTATTTTGCAAAAAATGTTGGAAAAAAACTCGAAACAGTTGTAGGATATCGATTAGAAGATTTGAAATTGACAACATATTTTTTTTTAACTTCATAAAACAAACGACATTTTTTGAAGCCAGTACTTGAGTATAATAACCACCTTGTATTGAGGTAGCAAACATTTATGAATGAAAAATAGAAAAACTATTAAAGTAGACAATTATTAGGTAAAATAGGTACGTAGGCCTTTCTGTTAAATAATCTGATTCCCTGACATGACAGCTTACTAGGGTTGACAAAATGTTTGCCTTTGATAATTATATTTTTTACGGGGTATTTTGTAACACGTTGTATACTACTAGCGCAAATAAAAATGGGATTATAAATGGCGTGTCATCTATTTACCTCTCACTTATACAATGCCAAATAACGTCATGAAATAACCATTTTTGTGCTGTAAATTTCAAGTCCGAGGAACAAAACATAAATGTTCAATATACTTTTGTTTTAAGTATTAATTTGTTATAGTTAAGCATCAGTTATTAAATTATCAAAGATAAATATTAAGCGCAATTTAATTTACACCCCTAATTAATATTCAATTAATAATTTAAGTACATACATAATTCAATTGATTTTAATATATTAACAATTTTTTTCCAATAACTATAAAATTCCAAATACTACAAAACAGTGTACTAACAAGGATTTAATTAATATAATATCGTTATTAGTAATAAAACATTTAAGCTCCGCTTTCGCCTTACGTACCATATATGCTGACCGTACATCCTCGGCGAGCCGCCATTTCTAATTTCATTCTTTATGGTCCGAGAGCTCATGACGCATTTTTCATGAAGTTTTTGATGCATCATGAAACTTTGTTGAAAAATATCAGTCTACTCAATAAGCAGGTATTTGACTGTTTGCCTGTCCTACCTGGGTACAACTGGTATTTAAATATTTTTAAATTATTAACCCTCGGAGAAACTGACTGCCATTTTGTGAGAATTTTTTATTATATATAATAAACACGCTGTAAAAATGGCAGATTAAATATAACTAGTATTACGAATTTTATCGCGTATATTAACTTATTTTATATTCCGGACGTTTCGAGCACTTTACAGCACCCATAGTCACGGGAGGGACTGAGGTGTTTGACGTCCCAATGTCATAGTTAACCACGGCTACCTCTAGATTAAAATTATTAATTTTTGTTCCGATCTACGCAGTATGAACTTACAGTGTCTTGAAGTATTTATTGCAAGTGACAAATGAACTTACTCTTCACCTGATTTTCATCGACTATCTATCATCGCCTAAAAATCAAAATGCAGATGCGTTGTCACCCCTGAGGACTAAGATGGAACGCCTCGCTACCAGAAAAAGCGTCTCCGGTTCTCTACACTCATCATACGAAACACAGCAGCATTAAACTGCTATTTTACGCTGGCATTCTGTAAGATCGTGATCCTATCCCGGTCCAACCGCTAGAATAGCAGCAGCGTGTAAAATGCTGTTGACGATGATGACGATGGAATGACTGATATCCTTTAATTACACTCCCTGACTTTTAAAATCGTGACACAACACAGAATACATTGCTGCTTGCCGACGGGATTGAGGTGGTGTCACACATACCTATAGATACAAAAGTAAAGTTACAACCTATATTCATCCGAATGCTGGGCACAGGCCTCACTTCTGAGAGTTATGGATCAATCAGTCTATCGCGCTACTCTTGTACGGATTGGCGGTCTTTCAATATGCTATTTTTTTTAATTAAGATTTATGGCTTGGATGCTTGTCTTTTAAGCCATGTCTTCATTTACCTCAGTATCAAGTGATAATAGTCACATTGCGCAGCCCTTGGGAGATTTTGACGACAACTTGAGCGGCGGAGTTGGCGATAGTGTATCAAGGTGCCTAAGCAGACAGAAACTTTATTAATTTTTTATTTGACACCAACAATACGTACACTAACAAAAGCATAATATTTTACAATAAATCATAAAAACTACGTTTTGACTTAATTACAGGTGTTACACACATTTCATAAAAAAATATACATATGTATACTTATATGCAGTGAATTAAATTGAATACAAAAATTAAGAGATCGATAAATATAATCAGAATTTAGTATTATATAATTATTTAAATTAAATCATACATAATCCACTACTGTTTATTTTTATTTATATTAGAAATTTTACAAACGTTAAACATAACAAAAATAAAATCATTAATAAATTATAATATACAATCATTACTTAATCACAATTTAGCTTTTATATTACTAGTAAGAAAAATAATATAACTTTACTGTGTATTACAATTATTTGAGGAATATAAATGTAATAAATCACGTTTAAATTTCCAAAGATTATCTGAAAATAAGTCAATATCAACTTTTCTATCTTTATGTTTATTATCAGTAGTCATTATGGCACTAATACAATTCTTATGTGAATATATAAATTAATATAGCATTATAACTCAACATCAATCTATTAATCGGAGAATAGCGCGCTGACGTGACTGACGTGAACGTGTGCTTTTTTTTTAAATGGTATAAAAGACGACGACCTTTTTGACTTCAATAGGGTATGAAAATTTAAAAAAAAACCTTAAATTCACATCACCATCGGAGCACTTGTTTCATCGTTTACACTAATAGTTCACATGCACAGAAGCTGCCGCGTGGCTCTACCACATATTTACATATGATATCATAATCCATTTCAAAGTATTACTTAAAAAATAATACAGGAACAGCAATTCGCCGCCGCTCTAATTCCCGCCAAAACTCTCTCGGTGTGCTCATTTTTTTTTATAAATAAGCACCTCACTATATTTTCTTTGATCACCGATCAAGTGGTAAATAAACACTTAAAATCGCTTTTATTGTTGTTCAGTTGGTGACCAATTTCAGATCCAGAATGCAGGCGTACTGTGAAATTCACATTCAATATTAATTATCCCTTGAAGGAGGCCTATGTTTCAGCTATGGACTTGTAAAGGGCTGTAATGATAATAATCATGATGGTGATACAAAATTAAATTATTTTTTTCTACATAGCTCCCTGTGAACTTCCCATTCTCCATGGCGCTACTTATGAAGCTGGCTACAGAGCCGGTCTCACAGTGGCCCACGCGTCTTCAGTGGACATAGCTTGTGAACCTGGAAGATCCCCACCAGCGACTTTAAACTGCCATTTAGGAAGACTACAGCCCACTGTTCACGACTTCTGTAGACCTCTAGGTAAGTTAACTGTATATTAAAGATCGGAATTCATTTTATGATATTGTTTCGTGCAGGGTGAGTATAATGCCAAATATAATGTATGTATTTTTTCAAACACACAGCAAGCTTACAAATATGTAGTCCAATTTCTATTAGCTTCTTTGGTGATATCCTTAATAATTGCAGATATCGTAGGTCGAATTCTCGTAGTCGCTTCCAGAAGTAGTCACTTTCACGTTCCCGAAATAACTACTTCTCCGCTCCCCGGCCCACGCAAAAGCGTGTATGAAAATACTCGATATAATTTAAAATTAAAAATTTTGTACAAACGACTTCAATATAAATTATTAAGAATAACTCAAAAACTGTTGGTCAGACCTTTATCAAATTTATATGGAACCACATGAAAATCATCATTCATCATCATTGCAGCCCTTCACAAGTCCACTGCTGAACATAGGCCTCCCCTAAGGAATGCCACAAAGCACGGTCCTGAGCCACCTGCATCCATCGACTTCCTGTGTTTTCTTACCAGGTCTTCACTCCATCTAGTGGGGGGACGCCCTAGCCTTCGTCCGCCGGTACGAGGCCGCCACTCGATACCCCATCAGTTGTAGGTTCATCGAGCTATATGGCCGGTCCATTGCCACTTCAGCTTACTAATCTGTTGGGCTATGTCCTTTACTCTGGTTCTACTGCGGATGTCCGCATTTCTAAGTTTTTCACGCAGAGAAACTCCGAGCATGGCCCTCTCCATAGCTCGCTGAGCAACCTTGAGCTTTCTCATCCGGCCAGCAGTGAAAAACCACGTCTCAGTTCCGTATGTCATCACTGGCAACACGCACTGGTTGTACAGTCTCGTTTTCAAGTTTTAAGGTATGCCTGACGAGAAGTTGTGCCGTAATTTCCCGAACGCTGCCCAGCCGAGTTGAATCCGTCGATTGGCTTCTCGGTCGAAATTGGACTTACCTATTCGGACTATTTGTCCCAGGTAAACATACTCGTCAACAACTTCGAGCTTAGTGTTCCCAACAACTACCGGCATAGATGTGACATGGACGTTATACATGATCTTTGTTTTGTCCATGTTCATCTTAAGACCTATCCGTTGGGAGTCACTATTGAGGTCATTGAGCATAGTGCTTAGGTCCTCCAGCGATTCTGCTATAAGAACTATATCGTCGGCAAATCGAAGGTGAGTGATGTACTCGCCATTGATGTTAATACCGTATCCTTTCCATTCCAAAAGCATGAAAACATCTTCCAATGCAGCGGTGAAGAGTTTCGAGAATATAACGTCACCCTGCCTTACACCTCTCTGCAGTTGGATAGGTTTCGTACTCGGATAGCCATCGTAACCCTACTGTACAAATACTTCAGCACTTCGATATACCGACAGTCAACTTGGCACCGCTGAAGGGACTACAGCACCGCCCAAATTTTGAAGGTATCAAAGGCTTTCTCATAGTCCACACACGCCAGACATAGTGGCAAATTGTACTCCTCGGACTTCTGTAAAATTTGCCGAAGGGTATGTATGTAGTCTATGGTGCTAAAGCCTTTTCGGAAACCGGCTTGTTCGGGAGGATGTAAGTCGTCAAGCCTGCATGCGAGACGATTCGTAATGACTCACAAAAACACCAAGTAGACAAGGCTCAGAAGGGAAATCGGTCTGTAGTTCTTCAAAAGATCGTTGTCGCCTTTCTTGAAGAACAAGACCACCCAACTTCTGCTACACGCCTCCAATGTAGTGCCACCATGGAGGACGGAATTAAACGGCTACTGAAGGACTTCAAGTACCGGTTTTCCACCCGCTTTCAGAAGCTCCGCTATAATTCCATCCTCGCCTTGGGCCTTGCCGTTTTTAAGGTGCTGGAGAGACATTCTAATCTCGTTAAGACTGACGTCCGGAATATCATCGGAATAGTGTCGGATAAGACTTGCTCTTGGATCGTTACTCACACTTGCGTGTCGCTCGAACGATGATGTGTACAGCCGCCCATAGAACCTCTCAATCTCATTCAAAATCTCAGGTGTCCCGGAAACGACGACTCGGTTTTCAGCTTCGACAGTTGGCTCTTTCTGACAGACAGATCTCTAGCAAAGACTTTGGAGGCCTGGTTCCGCTCGTTCGCTTCTTCAATACGAACAGTATTAAAGTTGCGTAAGTCCCGCCGCATGCATTTTAAGATCTGTCTATTCATGCTGTCAAATCTACTGAAGACTGCAGATTCATTTACCGTCTAACAGCCATGACATTAAGAGTGTGATCGGAGAGTTTTTGTGTTCTTCTGCGGCGGGTCTTGCAAAACTTAGCTCCGACCGCATGGACACTTTCCACGAGCTTGTCATTCATAAGTTCCACTGCATTGCAGTCTTCTAGGCACTGAAAACGGTTTTGTAGCTCGAGAGCAAAGTTTTCGGGACTTTGAATTAGAGCACCAGGGGGACGGAGCGTTGACTTCATTAGACGTGATCTCTCCATCTTAACGTTTAGGTTCAGGGTGTCTCTGACCATTCGATGATCGCTGCCGGTTTTCACCCTAGCGATCACTGAGACATCACTGAACAGTTATCGTCTGGTCGTCATAATGAAGTCAATCTCATTTTTTGTCAAACCGTCGGGGCTCAACCAGGTCCACTTCCATATGAGAGTCACCAGCTTTCAAATAAAAAAAAGAATCATCGATATCGGTTCACCCAGAAAATAGTTTTGAGGTAACACATAAAAAAAACTTATAGTCGAATTGAGTACCTCCTCCTTTTTGAAATCGGTAAAAAATGAATGTAGAATTTTATATATAGGCCAATCCAAGTCATTCTACTCTTACGACCGGAAAGTACTAGAACACTCCCGATAGTATCATCATCATCATCATTACAGCCCTTCACAAGTCCACTGCTGAACATAGGCCTCCCCCAAAGAATGCCACAAAGCACGGTCCTGAGCCACCTGCATCCATCGACTTCCTGCATGTCTTACCAGGTCGTCACTCCATCTCGTTGGGGGACGCCCTACACTTCGCCTACCGGTACGAGGCTGCCACTCGAGAACCTTTCTTCCCCATCGGTTGTCGGTTCTTCGAGCTATATGCCCGGCCCACTGCCACTTCAGCTTACTAATCCGTTGGGCTATGTCGGTTACTCTGGTTCTACTGCGGATATCCTCATTCCTAAGTTTATCACGCAGAGAAACTCCGAGCATAGCCCTCTCCATAGCTCGCTGAGCGACCTTGAGCTTCCTCATACGGCCAGCAGTGAAGGACCACGTCTCAGTTCCATAAGTCATCACTGGCAACACGCACTGGTTGTACAATTTCGTTTTCAGGTTTTGAGGTATGTCTGACGAGAAGATGTGTCGTAGCTTCCCGAACGCTGCCCAGCCGAGTTGAATCCGTCGATTGACCTCTCGGTCGAAGTTGGACTTACCTAGTCGGACTATTTGTCCGCAGTTTTTTTATTGTCATTTTGGCTATTATCAGGAAGATGCTGCTGCCCATCTCCTGCCTGTTTCCCTTTGTCGCCTTTTACGACACCCACGGGAGGATATGGGGTAGTGGTATTCTTGACCGCCACTACACAGCTACTCCCAATAGTATAATAGTAACAATATCCAAAGGTAAAAAGGCTTTATATACGTAGACATAAGGTTGCTTTTCGCTCGCTTTAATAGTCTGAGCGTTATATATTTTTATGACTACACATTTTATTATTTGACAAAGGTCACTGACCCTTACCGTCGAGAACATTCTCATGCAATGTGACGCAATACGCAACTGGCTGTCGCCACAATATCAATGCCACAGATCCTTCATCACCGTGAAGAGAAAAAAGTAGTGGCGACGTAAAAGGATCCACTACAACGCATTAACCCATGGCTGTTGTAAGAGGCAAAAAAGGAAAACTAAAACAGGACAATACCTGCAGCATATTTCTGATACCATTACGATAATAATAAAAAGCTACAGTTGCCAACCCGTCTGCCAAACGTGACTACTATGGTAAATATTCTCCCTTCAAGGAAATCCATGGGAGAAACTAACATTTAATGACTTTTGACGGGCTGAAATAAATAAATGCATAGAAAAAATATAACCAGATGACGGAGTAATAACAAAGCTTAGCGCCTTATTGAAAAAAAAAGGTTCATATTTACTATTTACAGCGAACCTGACACGACCAAGACCGCCATCCGAGTACCAAAGTGGTTCCGACATCGTTCGGGAAGATATATCGGAGTTAGAGCCAGATCTACACGGAAAACCTGTCCTAGAATGCGGTCCACCGGCTAGGTAATGAATTTTCCGACATTCATTCTAACAATAAAAGTTGCAATAAAAATAATAACTGTGAAACAATGATTTTTATACAAAATGGAATCTGATCTGCTTTTTTAATAAACAGATTTGATTTAGCTAATACAATTTTTTTAAACAATGATGCCTAACTCTGAAAATGATTTACGATTTCTTTAAATCTAACGAATTGGCAGAATAAATTTAATTACGCAATAAATATGTTCCTTTTATTATAACTGTGCTTTCATTGTAGCTTTGGTGTTGAATTTTTATTTAATTTAAGTTCCCTTTACATCGCATAATCTTTTTCGTTGTGTAATAAAAACTCAAAAATCTGATTCATCGTCTATTCTATGTTTTATCGGATTCTTATATATTAAAATTGGCTTTCTTATTGAAGTGTCACTATGACCAAATTTCCATCAGTTTCATGCTTCTGACGCATTATAACTTTTATTATATAATTTGCTTAATTTATATTTCAAAAGTTAAGAAGCAATTTGTCTCCTTTAGTAACTGTCTAAATAATAATTGGATACAACTTGCTTCTCAACTTTACTACATCCAATACAAAATGGGATGAAAAACGACGAGAAATAATATTTTTGCAAAGACTCTGCGTTTCTTATTTGCTGGCTGGAAAGACTGAAGGGAACCCAGGCGTTCAGGGATGCCAAGCCCTGGTGAGAGCCTTCTAGGTTCGAAATTTTACTTAACTTGTTCTTCATATTTCTGATCATCGTCATCGATAGCCGCATCTTCACCTTAGCCATCTACATATAAACAGCAACGATCACATTTGATAATTCCTTTGTCAGATCCTTCATTTCATTGAACAATTGTCAGTAATTCTACATTCTGTTGTACAATTTTATCTTTTTCATGATTATTATAAAGATCTATAGAAATCCTCAGACAGCAGGGCTTAGTAAAATTAAAAGTAAAACAATTCATTACTTACGTCTATAAACAGCTATACTAATGGCTGTATATTTGGCTTTTTTACCTTTTATGTCTTGGCCGGGCTTGTATTTTTTGCTCTTTTTTGCAAAATTCGTACCTGTCTAGTGCATGTTGTTACATATGTACGTTTTCATGGAAAGAGGCATCATATTCCATGATGAAATCTCATTATTTTGAGTCTAGGTACTTTGTAATATTGAAGTTATTATGATTAAGTATAGCTACAGTATTTTCAATGTTTAAGATGTCTGAAGGAATGTACCTATACCATTACTTCAAATGTTATATAGGGTACAAGGAACACTAATTTACCGCGACGGCACTGAAGTAGATGGATCACTCGGCATGGAAGGCTATCCCCATGGCACAGAAATTACATTTAAATGTATAGCCTCCATCATGGGTGAGAAAACCACTTGGAAGTTGATTTGCGAACATGGCGATTGGGTTGGCAAGAGTTTTAATTGTGGTAAGTGTTCAAACTATTATGATTGTATTTATAGAAGAGGGGGAAAACAAGCATGCGACTCACTTGATGGTAAGCTGTCGCCGCTATTCATGAAAATCTGCAACACCTGAGAAATCGCAAGTGTTAAAGTTAGTAAAAAATTACTTCGCGTACATACGCTCGACAAATTACTAGTAGTGGTGCTGGGATTAGTGGTGGCGGCGATAGTGCTCGCAGTTGAGGGAGGGCGGGGGGTGCTCTTCAAATTAGGTAAGACACATCATTTTATTTTATCGATTTTTATTTTTTACCAACTTTAATATAATTCTTCCGCAAAGTAACGCCTGATTCTATTAATAATCGAAAGTGTGTTGCTGGCCTTTGATGAACAGTAGAATCTCTAAGGTCCATATCGGTTCATAAAATCACACGATTCTTGAAATTATTTTCAGAAAACTTTTTCAATATCACACAGTACTGTACCCCCAAGCATATAGAAGTTGCTACCATTACCGTTATAAACTACCAAAAGATCACTGCTGAATAGGCATCCCCCATATATTAACCTACAAAGGGGATATTTGCTGTAGTTGCTGTAGGCCCAATCCCCGCCCCCCTTCTCCATCAACATGGTAGCGGAATTAAACAGACTACCCCAGAAGGGTACCAGCATCCCTGGAGATACCCTCGCTGAGCATCCACGCCCAAGCTACCCTACTTTTTTTTTGAGCGTGGGTTCTCAGGCTGCCCCGCGTATTCTGGGGGGGGGGGGGCAAAATTCCGCTCAAGACGAAACCTGCTCGGGACAAGCGGAGCAATAAGACTAAGGCAACCCCTGCCACGCTTTCCGTGAATTTCTGCAATATCAGGGGACTTCATTCAAAACTTAACGCCGTCCAGTACCGTCTGGAAACTGCAAAGCCGGCCTTACTCTTTCTTACCGAGACACAGGTGTCCTCCCCAGCTGATATTTCGTTTCTCTCCTACCCGAGGTACAAATTAGAACACTGCTTTGTGCCCCGGGCTGGAGTTTGCGTGTACGTCCAAGAGGACATCTGTTTTCGACGCCTCGGCAGTCTTGAAGGTACGGACCTGTCCATCCTATGGCTGCACGTAGACAGTGACGACCATCCCCGCGTCTACAAGTGCCTCTATAGGTGTCCCACAGCGGTAATGCCGAAACAGACCGACTCCAACTCATCGACCACGTCCAAATGGGTGCAGAGTCCATGCTACAACAGGTCCCATCCGCACAGATCGTGATGCTCGGTGATTTTAACGCCCACCACGCTGAATGGCTTGGTTCCCGTTTAACCGATCATGCGGGTAGATCTGTTTATGATTTTGCCTTGGCATATGATCTGACACAACTGGTTTCTTCACCCACGCGGATCCTAGATGTGGAGGATCATGTACCTTCCTTAAAGGACCTTCTGCTGACCTCTCATCCAGACGGATATCAGGTCTCAGTTGATGCCCATCTTGGCTCTTCGGACCATTGTCTGATCCGGAGTACTATGCCACTCACGCTCTAATCTCAGTTGCGATCTGTAGCTTGCCACCGTGTTTGGCACTATAGGTCAGCCGATTGGGACGGGATGCAGTCTTTTTTTGCATCCTACCCTTGAGGCGGGTTTGCTTCTCATGGGATGATCCCAACGTTGTTGCTGATTCTGTCTGTCAACGTTGTCACTGATATGGTACTTCAGGTAAGGGTGCCTATCGGAGGCAGAACTCAGCCATGGTTTGGTCACTCCTGTAAAATTGCATCACGCTATAAACAAGAGTACTACCGGGCCTGGGCTGACGCATCAACGTCCTGAGATGTAAACACCAGCACTCTTAAAAATAATCATAATTCCGCCTCCAGGTCCTTCAAAAGTGTCATTGCCAAGGCAAAGTCAGAGCACATCGACAGTATTTGCGAGAAACTAGTTCGCCTCCCATTGGGAACACGTGCATTCTGGTCTCTCGCCACTGGTCTGGTCTACGTGGTAGCGCCATGCTGCAACTATATTATGGTTGTAGCACGAATGGGTCGGCTCGACCGGGAAAGGACCACGCTCTCACAGAAAACCAGCGTAAAATAGCAGCTTAACGCTGCTGTGTTTCGTATGGTGAGTGTAGAGAACCAGAGACCCTTTTTACTGACAAAGAGGCATTCCATCTTAGTCCTCACGGGTAACAACACATCTGCATCTTGAGTCTTTATTGAGGATAGATGTAGATGTCTATGGGTCACAGTAACCACTTACCATCAGGTAGACTGTGTGCTCGTTTGTCACCCGATCCTATAAAAAAAAGGCTATCCTAGCGAACTTCTGTCAGCCATCTCTGCACAGGGTGGACGACTCACTGGCCCGTGATGCAAAGGAAAAAGCCGATCTGCTAATCTCTCGTTTTGCTTCCAACTCGACTCTAGATGACGGAGGGAACACACCGCTGACCATCCCGCGGTGTGAGTATTCCATGCAGGAAGTGTTGTTTACACAGCGATCGGTGTGTAAAGCACCCCTGGACGTCAACAAGTCGAGTGGGCCTGATAGAGGCCCACCTATTTGTGCTGAAGACGTGTGCTCCGGAGTTAGCACCGGTTTTAACGCGTCTTTTCTGACACTCCTACTCCCTAGGCGTAGTTCCGAACTCATGGAAGACAGTTTTGGTGCACCCGATCCTACGGTGCAGGCTTCGATTACAAACTCATTAACGCTGGTGTTTCACAAGGCTGCGTGCTATCACCTACGCTGTTTCATCAGCATATCAACGATATTGTAGCCGGTGGAAGGAAAAGGAGAGATCTCCCGCCAGGCAAGGTGTTCTGCCCGAGGAGCGGCCGACGCTCCGAGTGGTTGTTCGGAGCTATTCTATATATACTGCTTTAAGTTCGGAACTTTGTTAGCGCGATTTATGCTTCCATATGTTTCGCCTGTAGCGCGACGACAGCGCCGCGACAGCGCCTGCCCAGACCAGAGGTCGATAGTGCAGTCCCATTGCCGGTGCGTCCTTAATGCTGGTGGGGAATGCATGCTGTGTGCGTAAGGGCAAGTGACGCCGATGCGAACGATATGCCGGTGTGTAATGCATGCCGTACTACGTACTTGCAAGTGATGCCGGTGAGTACGATGAGCCGGAGCAAGTGCCAGGGATTGCCTTGTAGTGTGTGCGGTGAGTCGAGAAGAAGGCAAGTAATCTGCGAGAGTGCCGTGAAGCAGAGGCGAGCAGTAAGGCTCAGAGCCGTGCCGAACACTGTAGCGCAGGGAGTAGCTTGAAGGAATAGGAAGCATTATTATTCCAGTGCTGCAATGAACCTTTGTAAAGCTAGATGGCTTGCAGAATGTGAAGACTGCAGACAATATCTGCTCGGGAGCGAATGAATGGGATACTTAGGACGATAACGAAGGTTTTGAAGTTGTACCTTCCGAAGGTTATTGGTTGCATGTTCATATCACGTCGGGGTCACTAATGTAGCCGGTGGAAGGAAAAGGAGAGATCTCCCGCCGGGCAAGGTGTTCTGCCCGGGAAGCAACCAACGCTCCGAGTGGTAGTTCGGAGCTATTCTATATATACTGCTTTAACTTCGGAACTTTGTTAGCGCGATTTAGGCTTCGATATTTTTCACTTGTGGCGCGACGACAGCGTCGCCACATCATGTTGCAAAGTGTCGACATATCGAGTGACGTGCAGTTTCGTGGTCACTTGGACGAGAAGGCCAAATTGGCCTCTAAAAAGCTTGGCGTGCCCAGCAGAGCGGGACAGTATTTCATGCCGGCACATCGCTTGCAACTTTACAAGGCGCAGGTTCGGCCTCACATGGAATAATGTTCCCATCTCTGGGCAGGTGCTCCCCAGTGCCAGCTTCTTCCACTTGACCGCATCCAGCGCAGAGCGGTATGAATCGTCGACGACCGAGTTCTTTCCGGTCGGCTTGAGTCACTGGCACAGCGGAGAGATGTTGCATCTCTTTGCGTATTCTTTGCATCTATCACGGAGGAATTTTTCGGACTAATTCCAGACGCCAAATTTCACCATCGCACATCGTGACAAAACTCGCGTTACCATCCATACCATCTGTATGATTGGCCGTCCACCACTGTGCGATTTAGAAGACGTTTCCTTGTGTTCTGCTTGGCAAGCGGTTTGGCAACCGCAGTTATTTTTTGTATGATTAGTTGTTTTGAGAACTATTGCTAAATCAGAACATAGGTTCAGCAGTGGACTTTTTATAGACTTCGTGGGGATGGACATGATATTGAGATTATGAAATGCCTTAGTCCTCTCCAGTCTCAGCTCCTGCTCTTGAACGGACCAATGAATATCAAAATATCAATGTTGTCTTAATATTAACTTCAAAAACTTCACCTAGGTTTAACATTGGACTTTTTAGTCTTTAGAATTGTTATTTTCTAACGGGACAATTTGTTTATATCGTTTGATGAAATACGAATAAAAAATATTCCTATAACTTTTTACGGTGAAGTTAATATTTTTGGAGTTTTGAAGTTTTAGAGGTTTGAACAATCCCAAATTTACCAATAGTTTTCAGTACTCGTGTGCCGATTCCTCCTGGACTATTTATAAGCTTTAAGGAATAACAAGATTAAAATACTTACTTACTTACTTACTTATCTTCACGCACAATCCCTGACGGGGTAGCCAGAGAGAACAGATCGCCGAGTGTCACGATCCTTACAAACCTCTTTCGCTTCTTTCAGATTCATTATCTTCTTCATGCATGCACGTCTAGGTATCCGAGTACTTTTGACCCTACCCTCTTCGAGCAATTTGCTCACATGGTCTTCGAAAGTTAGTCTCGGTCTACCTCGACACCTTTTAATATTAACTTTCGCGCTATATATTTTCTTCACCATTCGGTCTTCACTCATTCGCTCAACGTGCCCAAACCACCGAAGCACGCCCTTATCAATTTTTGTGATAAGGTCATCTTTCAAACCTGCCATATTGCGAATCTCTTCGTTTCGCTTTCGGTCGGCCATGGTAACGCCGCACATTTTACGAAGAGATCGCATCTCCACTGCATTCAACTTACTTTTATGCTTCTTCTGGCATACCCAGGTTTCGCTGCCATATAACAAAGTCGGTACCAACACTGCGTTATGTATTGCAAGGCGTGCACTCTTCGCTACGCCTTGCCTTTTGACTAACGCAGTCAGGGCACCATTGACTTTGTTCCCGGCAGCGACACGCCTGTCCACATCTAAATCACATCTTCCATCCCGGCTAAAAGCACTCCCCAAGTATACAATTTCATTTACCTGTTCTAGACATTCCTGATTTACCCATATTTCACACTTCGTTCTCTCTTCGTCCCTTTCAAATACCAGAACCTTAGTTTTATTAGCATTCAAACGGAGACCTTTAATTTCACATTCCTCTTTCATACACGTGACTAATGCCTGCAGTTCTGCCTCTGATGGTGCAATAAGCACTGCATCATCAGCATACAGCAGACAATTTACTTTAATGTCACCCAATTTCACACCCAAACAACTATCTTTCAGCTTCTGTAAACAGCTGTCGAGATACAGTATGAACAGCCAGGAAGACATGACACAACCCTGCTTTACGCCCGTTTGGACGTTAAACATGGGTGACAGGTCATGCCCTACCCGCACACAGGCTTTACAGTCACAGTAAAGAGACTGCACAGCCCTTAGCAATCGACCATCCACACCATACCCCGGCAACAGTTCCCACATTTTCTTCCTAACAACCTTATCAAATGCTTTCTCAAGATCCACAAAAGCACAGAAAATCTTCTGGTTAGCAGCCAGAAGCTTCTCCGTGATCATGCGGAGAGAAAACATTTGATCCGTGCATCCTCTTCCAGGTCTAAATCCGCATTGTGCCTCCCATAGAAATCTTTCCGATTTCTCTTGCATCCTACGTGTCAAAACCTTCGAGTAAACTTTACTTGCTAAACTGATCAAGCTAATCGCCCGATAGCACCCGCAGTCAAAATGTGAACCTTTACCTTTATATAAAGGCACAATGACTGCGGATCGCCAATCATCCGGGACATCCCCCGTCCGCCAGCACAAATTGCACAGCAGATGAAAGCTGTCTCAGACGCGAGGCCCACCATACTTGACCATTTCAGCAGTAACTCTGTCTAGTCCCGCAGCCTTACCACATTTCAAACTTCGAATCGCACGTTCAATCTCTTTCATACTGATGACCTCAGTGTCATCGAGGTCCGGGTCTGGCGTACCAGTCACGGCGTCATCCCCGGATCCCTCACTAAGATCATCATACGCATACATTTCTCTATAAAATTCGCTCCATCGCTGCATGACGTCCGATTTTTTTGAGAGGACGTCATTAGTTCTTGAAAGCACTTTGTTCATTCCTAAGGCCGTCGCACCACTCCGGGTCCTTCCAACCTCTTTCCAGAAGAGTTTGGAGTTCTCCTTAAAGTTGTGCGACAACCTTTCGTCCGCTTCCATTCTACACCTTTCACGCACTTCCTCAATCAATGCTTTCGTGTGAACTTTCTGCAGCCTATATCTTTCTTTCATCTTCTCTCTCATATCCTTATCATTACTAGAGGCCAAGTAGTCTAACCACGCTTTCTTCTTCTTTTTTACAGCTTCTTTCACTTCATCATTCCACCATGCATCTCTTCTTTTACTACTGCCTCTTTTTATTGTTCCACACACTTCTTCCGCTGCACTTACCATTCCATCCCTAAGGTTCTGCCAGGTTCTTTCTACACATTCTTTTCTGCCATCGATGGTGTCAAGCTTTTCGGCTACCCTCGCATGATATTTGTCCCCAGTATCCGCTTCCTGAAGCTTCCAGCTTCGGATGCGACAATTATCGTATTTTGAAGTCGGAGCCGATGTTCAGACCGTGAAATTGTTTTATTTTATTTTTTAGTTCTTGGAAGGCGGCTTTTAAATTTTATTAAATTACTTTATTTAGTCTAATAATTTTTAAATTAAAAATTTTGTACAACCGACTTCAATATAATTTATTAGGAATAACTCAAAAACTATTAGTCAGACCTTGATATTATTTACATGGGACCAGATGAGAACTACCAGTTTTTAAATAGAAAAAGAAATATCGAAATCGGTTCACCTAGAAAAAAGTTATGAGGTAACACACATAAAAAAATATACAGTCGAATTGAGTACCGGCTCCTTTTTGAAGTCAGTAGAAAATTTGAACAATAATGAAATAAAAATATCTTAAGCTAAGGATGAAAAAATGGATGACGTTTATGTTCCAGAGGAATTAGAAGCACAAAGTGAAGAACTCCTTAACAACAACAGCTGCACCTTTAGGAATGAAGAACCGCATGTGGTATCGTTCTTTAACGACCTAGAAATAACTGAGACGGTTGACTTTCCATCTGGAGCTGTAATCATTTCCAGGTACCAATAGTAATTTAATACAGCAGGAACTTTTATTTTTTAATAGGAAGCGATGCAATTTTCATTCACTACCTAATATCTTATATACTATAATCTATAATAATATGTACCCTCTATATGTATAATATATGCATACTATTACCACGATCATCATCATTACAGCCCTTCACAAGTCCTCCCCCAAGAAATGCCACAAAGCACGGTCTTCAGCCACCTGCATCCATCGACTTCCTGCAAGTCGTCATTCCATCTAGTGGGAGGTCACCCTGCATTTTTCCTACCATTACGAAGCTACCACTCGAGAACCTTTATTCACCATAGGTTGTCAGTTCTTCGAGCTCTATGGCCGGCCCATTGCCACTTCAACTAACTAATCTGTTGAGCTATGTCGATCACACGGTAGAGAACCAGTCTCTACTGTGGATATCCTCATTTCTAAGTTTATCACGCAGAGAAAAACCTCAAACATAGCCCTCTCCCTCATACGGCCAGCAGTGAAGGACCACGTCTCAGATCCGTAAGTAACTGGCAACACGCAGTATGCACTGGTTGTACAATCTTGTTTTCAAGTTTTGAGATATATCTGACGAGAAGATGTCGTAATTTCCCGAACGCTGCTGCCTATATACTATGAACTATAATATGTATATAATTATCTTATATTGTATTTTTATTTTCTCATATATTACTTATTAGACACTGAATTACAATGTGCATCACACGGAATAGCACTGTGATTCTACGGCTCTAAGGCAAACCGTGTGCATCAAATAATACCGTGACACAAACAACGCCTAACACCATCTGTTGGTGATAACGCAAATTAAATTACTTCGAAGAGTCACTACCATAATTTCCTATTTATTACATTTTTGTAAGTTTTAATCAAATCCGATGCAAAGCATACTAGCAACATTGAAATAGAATCCTTTACTATTTACTCTTACAGTCTAAGTCCACTGCTGAACATAGGCCTACCCTTAGTTTGCCACACTCACTCACTACTACACTCATAGGAGGTTTTTCCATAGTTGCCAAGCTTGGCAGACGATTTGGTACACGCAGTTTTTTTTTTTATTGTTATTATAAAGACGCTGCTGCACATCTCCTGGTTTATTTCCCTCTGTCACCTCTTACGACACCCACGGGACGATATGGGGTAGTGAAATTCTTTCACCTCTACTGCACGGTCAACAGCATCATATTAAGCTTACTTAAAAGAACGGTAAAATAAAAAACTTTGTACAACCGACTTTAATATAAAAAAGAGAAAATCATCAATATAGTCGAAGTCAATTAAATACGCTTTATTAAGTATAACTCAAAAACTACTGGTCAGATCTTGATCAAATCTATAAATTGGTTTATATATGGGACCACGTGAGAAGCACCAGCTTTCCAATAAAAAATAATCATTTCACCTAGAAAAAAGTTCTGAGGTAACAAAAAGTTACCTCAGAACTAAGAGTTCTGAGTTAAGTATTTGTATGGCCTACAAATAATTGTTCCGGGTCTGGATGTTTGTCCTTGTGCAATTTACAGATACAGGAGAAAATCCTAGTGTGGGGGTAACGTTTTATTTTTAAAAACAACAAAAAAAAACACATAAAAAATGCAATCGAATTGAGTACCACCTCCTTTTATAAAATCCGTTAAATAAATATATTTCTTCTTGGTCCTTTGATATAAAATTATATTTTGAAACGCGTATTGCTCATTTCACAGATGCAGTGATATTGGCAAATACGCTATGACAGGATCTCAGACTCGAAAGTGCATCGGAGGTTCATGGGATGGTGTTAAACCGACATGCTTTGGACTTAACCAGGAGAATGATTATGCAAGTAAGTTGAAGTGTAATATTCCCTTTCCTGTAGAATAAGGATGATAAACGAGCACACAGTCCATCGGGTGGTAAGCGGATGTTGTGGCCTATAATAGACATCAAAATCTATTCTCGATTAAAAATCACAATGTAAATGCTTTACCACTCCTGAGGACTAAGATGTAATATTTCGTTTCCAGTAAAAAGGGTCTCTCTCCTGTTCTCTACACTCACCATACGAAACACAGAAGCTTTAAACTGCTATTTTACGCTGGTATTCTGTATAGTATCCCTGGTTATATAAGCCATATAGCTCGAAAAACGGGAACGCGAACAGGGCAGATTGGTTCTCGAATGGCAGCCTCGCACCTGTAAGTGAAGTGAAGGACAACCTCCAATTAATGACGTCACGGGACGTTTCCTGCATGTAACGTGACGTTACATGCAGGAAACGTCTTGTGGCACCTTAAAAGTCTTGTGGCACCTTAAAAGTCTTGTGGCACCTTAAAAGTCTTGTGGCACCTTAAAAGTCTTGTGGCACCTTAAAAGTCTTGTGGCACCTTAAAAGTCTTGTGGCACCTTAAAAGAGGCATAAGTTTAGCCATGGCCTTGTGAGGGTCTGTAATGGTGATAGTAGAGGTTTTGCAATTACTGCTTTGCACGTGTAGTAATATCTGAAGTTTCTGAATGACTGAAGGACTCTGTTGATTGACTAAAGGCAGAAAATTCATCCAAACAATCCAAATTCTTGTACCAGAAACTGATGATGGGAAGCATTATCAGATTTTGAGTCTTAACTTGCTAATCTGCCTGTTTAACATAAATGCAAGCCTTACTTTTTCTTTTTAGAATAACGGTGACAAACAAAGTCCACCTGATGGAGAGCGGACGCCTCTATTCATCCTCGATTGGGAATCAAAATTCACATGCGTTGTCACCCCTGAGGACTAGTATAGAATGCCTTGTTTCTTGTGAAAAGTGTCTCCAGTTCTCTTCACTCCCTTACTCACTATACGATACGCTACACAGCACCATTAAGCTGCTATTTTAGACTTGTATAATTTGAGAGCGTAGACTTATCCAGTCGATCACCTTAAGTGCTGCAATCATAATATAGCTCGTGACAATAGTCTTAGTCTTTAAGGGTGTCAACGCATCTGTAAACTTCTTTACTTATTGCAGGCGTCCATAGGCAGAAGTAACTACTTACCTTTTGGTGTACCCTTTGTTGGTTTTTTATAGGATAAGGGTGACAAACAAGCACACAGTCAGTAAGTGGTGGTTGAGGCCCATAGAAATCTACATTTATCCTCGATTACGAATCTTAACCCGTTCGATAATGTCGGTCGTCGGATATATATACTCTTTGGTCGTTGATCCTGTCAATCGTTTCATCCGGAACGTTCAAAAGATGTATTAGCAATCATCAATACTTTAATGCGTCTCGGGTCAAATAAACGAATCATTCACGATTGAGACATCTCCAAAGCCGTGTATACACCAAAACTGTTGACAACAGTTATGTTTCCAACTGTTTACAACTGTTTCCAACAAGCGTCTCCACCGAGGGAACAAATGTTTGCAACAAGCGTATTCCTTAGACTTTGCCGCCGAAAATGGAAACACGGTTCCCGACATTGTTTCAAGTTTTGTTACCAACTGTTGTGTTGGTAACAAAACTTTGGTGGAGACGCGGCTTAATACTAACTAAACTGTGTGATTACATTAAGATTAACTAAGTCCCAAAACTATGTGTACATTTTAAAAAAATGTAGTTAATTAAAAAAAAATCTTACTTCCAGTGGAGAAGCCTCCGACAATTTTATTCAGGCACTCGCAGGGCCCGATCGCGCAGACGAACGATGGGAAGCTTCTGGTGTATCCAGGAACTGTCCTGCACATGGAGTGCCTCTGGATGAGGAGGTTCGGCAATCCAAAGTGGAATGTTACACACCACTATCCAGAGTGAGTAAACACAGCAGCATTAAACTGCTATTTTACGCTGGCATTCTCTGAAAGCGTGTTCCTTCCCCGGTCGAGCCGACTCATTTGTACTGCAACTATAATGCTGTAACATGGCTCCACCACGTAAAAATGCTTGTGTTCCAAAAACCACATAGTAGTCGAATTGCGGATTCGAACCGATGACTTTTTATAGTTACGCAATCCGAATACCATTACATAGCCATTGGCCTACAGTCACTTTATTATTTCAGTAGTTAACATGTGTTGTTTTATTGACAGTGTAGAAATTAAATGAAAGCTTACGGTGTTGGTATAAAAGAATTTATCATTCCATTTCATCCGGTGGATTTCTTTAGAGTGGACTATGTAAAATACTAGAAAGATCTCATGGATCTCAAGATCTGGCCCGAGAAATGGCGGTAACCACCTCTTTACGCCAAGCGTTAAATGCCTAGACTAGCTACGAGAAGAGCGATGGATACTTGATGATGATTGATGATTGAAAATGATCATGCCTTTCTGATTTTGCATGCTGCGCCACACATATCATTCGGGTGCTGTTAAAAATATTAACAATATAAAAATTCCTCTAAATAATGCAAATAATTATTATCTACTATATTGGAGCTTTTATTTGTTTTACAGATAATTAAGGAATGCTTACAGATAAATGTCTTGTTGCAGTTTTTATAGTTTTGAGTTTTTATCTAAGAGATGCTGCTGCCCATTTCTTGTTTAGTTTCCCTGTGCCTTTGCCGTGGGTGTCGTTCACGGCCACGACACATGAGTAAAGAAACCGACCAGAGGGGAAGCTACATACAAAGACTTGCTTCGGGTACACGCACACATAGCGCAGCGATGTGTGCGTGAGTTCTCACCGACAGGTTCAATGACGCTCCGTCAGGGTACAAACCGGTTTGCGCCGGCTCAGTTGAGTGTGAATGAAAGGGCTGTTGGTCACGCGCATTGAAATAGACGAATAATATTTCGTGATTTTATAGATCAATAAATCTATAATGTTTTTTACAATTAGAGTTAAGTTTAGAGATTGTGTACTATAAATTAAGAGATTATAGATTTATAAGTATATATTTATATTCGATAATTAGTGTTCGTATAAGCTAAATGCCTAAGTTGTACAATATGTATGAAAAATTCGAGGGAAAATAATACAATAGCCAGACAGTGGTGCAGTTAGTGTTAGTGTTAGTAGTGCTGGTGATGGTGATTGTGGACGGTGGTGCTGATCGTGCGGTGTTGGTAGCGGTGGATGGTGGTGCTGTAGGTGCTAGTAATGGTGTCGGTGATTGTGGTGGTGCTGTTAGTATCATTGGTGGTGGTGGTGGACATTGGACCGCCACTGGCACTACCACCACGACCAGCATCACCGCCACATCCCTTACTACCGCCACCATCATCCTGGTAGTAACATTGGTGGTGGTGGTGTATTAACAACGCCACAGCCCACTACCATCATCACTGTCATTACTAATATGTATATATGTATAGATATGTATATGTAATGGAAGCTAAGCATGAAAATTAGCAAAATGTACAATTTTTGCAGTTTCAATTTTAATTACAAATAACAAAGTTACAATAAATACACATGTTATTTTATACAATATAATATTTTTATTTTTTCCTTAAAATTTTCGCTCGCATTATGTGATAACCCTATCAGAATAGGTATAGATTTTCGACGTTGTTAGAAAGCTTCCCCTCTGTTCTTCTTTACTCTGTGGCCACGACACGATATGGGCTAATGCATATTCTTACACTGCCGCTGCACGGCTATCAATAATAAACTAACTAATAATAATTTCTTATATTTAGACGAGTACTAGGCATTAAATAAAATGAACTTTACACAATTAGTGTCTGTAAAATTAATTTTATTCCATATAATTATATTAGTAACATATTGCCAATAATTTAAAATTAAAAATTTTATACAACCGACTTCAATATAAATTATTAAGTTTAACTCAAAAACTATTGGTCACACCTTGATCAACTTACAAAACTTTATTAATGCATTTATATGGGACCACGTGTGAAGCACCAGCTTTCAAATAAAAAAGAATCATTGAAATTGGTTCACCCAGTAAAAAGTTATGAGAGGTAACACATATTTAAAAAAAAACGTACGGTCGAATTGAGTAGTCTCTTTTTTGAAGTCGGTAGAAAATTGCTAATAATTTTGCCTTCGAAAGTCTTTATAGAATAAAGGTGTTATAACTTTATTTATACTTATAATGTATAAGAAAGTTTTATAAATAATAAAATATATTTTCAAAGTCCGGAAAGAAAATATCAAGAGGGTTGGACGACTGATCCTGGACGCGACAGCCAACTGGAGTATCGTCTCAGTATAATGGGAGCGGTTAAAGAAGACTCTGGTATCTACCGGTGCGAGACGCCAGCGAGACAGAGCCATCAAGTTGAAATAATTGTTGAAGGTATGTTCATTATTCATTACAGCCTAGTCACTGCTGAATGTAGGCCTATCCACAGATTATCGCATAAAGAGGATATTTGCAATAGTTGCCATTTAGGACAGAAGATTGGCAACCTCAATTTCTTTTAGTGTTATTAGGAAGACGCTGCAGCCCATCTCCTGGATAGTGGATATTATTATCACTACATGGTCGATTTATTTAATATTCCTGTCTGTGAATATTGTACAGTTGGACAGAGACCTTTTATTTTTAAAGGGTTACACAAAAAATGAAATGAACAAAAGAGTTTCTTAATTATTATCGTGTATGTCGATTCTCCCTAAAAATTCGATCTTCGAAGCGAACGCAAAATAATGGATTCTTGATTAAGTTGACCTTAATTACTAATTAATCAAATTAAGGATCAAACTCAAAGACAAAAGATGTGGTTTAAGTCAATTATTTATTCTGTGCTTAAGTAACGTGTATAAGTATAACGTAGTAGTGAATATCTCAGAGAGATTATTTTTGTACTAATATATTGTATTAACATGTATTGTAAACTATCTGTAATTTGAATTGGTCCAATTCCTAAGATTATAAAATTGATTTACTGAATCGATCAAGTTTACCAGCTCAAAAGATATGATTTTCTTCAAAAGTTTTTCGATAACTCGATCTCAGGGCTTTATTGACATGGCTTCCATTTCTAGTAATCATGAGACCTTGATAAGGAAACTGCTTTATATTAAGTACAAATGCCAATTGTTACATTACTTTATTTTACAAAACAGCCTTGTGTATAAACAAACAATCGTTTTTGTAACTAGGTGTTCCACTAGGCTTTACTTTTGGACCATTAATCTTTCTCATATAGTGGAAGTGATTTACATTATGTTATAGATATCAAACGGAGTCGAATATTCATGTCAATATTTTACTAATTTTATAAAGTACAGAAAGCGGAAGTATAATTTATGAATTTTTGCAGACGTCCACTGTACGCCATTACCGATCAGAAGAGGTTTGGTCGCCAGTGACCTTGGCACTCGTTTGGGTACCGAGATCAGATTTTCGTGTGCAAATGGAAATGCATTGCTCGGTGCGCACGTCCTGACCTGTCGTGCATCTGGCAACTGGAGTGCTCCGCTACCGGTTTGTGAAAGTAAGTGTATAAAAAGGAACTTTCCGCTCGCAGCTGTATGTGTGCTCTTATCTTGGTAAAGCTAAGAGTGCGTGGTCGTCGGGCATGTATAATATATTATCAAAAAATTATATAATCTTTTTAAAAACAATATTAAATTATTAAATTTAAAATTTTAATTAAATTAAAAAACCCGAATAAATAGATAAAAGTACCATAAAAAAATAATCTAAAAGTCTCTAATATTATGTTTTCCACGTGGAGGTTCAAGCCGTGGTCAGGAGATGATTTTTAGGCCTAAGGCCAATTAAAGAATGTCCATGCTGTTGACGATGACCATGACCATAACCATTTAGATGACGATAACGATGGCGAAAACAATAGCGATGATAGTGACCATAACGATGACGATGGCGAAAACAATAACGATGATAGTGACCATAACGATGACGATAACGATGACGATGGCGAAAACAATAGCGATGATAGTGACCATAACGATGACGATAACGATGACGATGGCGAAAACAATAGCGATGATAGTGACCATAACGATGACGATAACGATGACGATGGCGAAAACAATAGCGATGATAGTGACCATAACGATGACGATGGCGAAAACAATAACGATGATAGTGACCATAACGATGACGATAACGATGACGATGGCGAATACGATAACGATGTCGATGACGATATAATAAAAACAGGCTGATTCTTATTTAATATCTTTTTACTTAAATCAAACGTAGCCCAAGTTTAAGAAAGCCAAACCGTAGAACGAAAACCAAATGTTAAAAATACAAACTTACACTGCACAATAAAAACATAACAAAAGCTTTGTTAATCAGAGTGTTACAGTGAAGTTAATAAATGGCGCTTATGAGCGGACTGTGGAATTCAATCCTTCATGGCAATAAAAGAAAAGTCAACTGAAACGAACTGTCAACCATAGATACCAGTAGGAAATATTTTTCCGTTTTGAAGATCGATAAAGAAGATTCACCGATTGTGTTCTCAGAAGCCCACAATATATCATTCAACGAGACCTGACTTGGACTCAGTTATACGTCCTTGAATTACATCACATTATTCTACATTGACACTATGAACTCATCATACAATTTATACATATTTTTATAAAATAAAGTATATGATGAAAACGCGTGACGAAGTGCAGGTTAGGGCTCATAATACAAATCTGGACACAAGGAGTATTATAAAGAGCTAAAATCAATAGTTAAAAGCTCGTGTCAGAAAAAGAAGCGTACTTTAAATTTTTTGTCAATTCAGAAATTACTCAACCAAAATTTATGTGGAAGCACATTAAGCAACATGTGCAAATAAAAAGCAAATTCTTTAATAATTCTCAGCCAGCTCATTTCAATGATCCAAATGCTTTGAATGATCATTTTCTCAATAACCCCGGAGAAAGTAATGTAGCTATATCTCTCGTAACTTCTTTGAATATCATCTTTTCTTCTGATGTTTCGGTTCAATTTAAAGCAATCTCAGAATCTGAAGTTACAAATATTTTAAGGTCTTCACAGTGTAATGCAATTAGTTGTAATAGGGTATCACTAGACACGATAAGGATAATACTTCCAGATTGTCTTGAAGTAATAACATCAATAATCAATAATCTTTCGAAAGAAATACCTATCCTAATGTATAGCAGCAGGCCCTTGCTAAACCTATATCCAAACTTAGTAACCCTGTTTGTGTGTCCTTCAGCCCATTAGAATCTTACCGTGATAAAGTAAATCTAAAGAAACAGACGCAGCACTACAACTGCCTTAATTCGGGATGTAGATGAGAGCCGAATTAGTAACACCAGACTTACTTCGGAAAATCGACAGGTTATACGTAGAGTTCCGCAGGGTTCTATTTTAGGACCACTGCTTTGTATACTTTACAGCGCGGATGTTGTTAATAATATAGAACATTATAAGTTCCACATGTATGCAGACGATTTACAGGTATATATTTCGTTTAAGCCCCGCGATACAGATATAGCATTGGCAAAGCTTAACGCCGATCGTAATCGCATATCTCTGTAGTCTGAGCGTAACACACTAGTTCTGAACCCGAATAAAACCAAAAACATGATACTGGGTTCACCAAGTACGAAACATAACCTCGAAATGTTCCGCGTTTGTCATAAATGAGGATACAATTGAAAGAGTCCCAGATGTGAGAAATCTTAATGTAGAGATGAATGAGAAGCTGCGATTCGAGAAGCATATTTTTGACACTGCATGTAATTGCTCTTTTTGCATGTAATTACGTTTTACTTATTGTGATGCATACTTCAACTGGAATAAACGCATTTCTTTCTTTCTTTCAATATTCCCTCGTGTAGGCGTGGAGTGCGGCGAGGTGGTGCTGGACGGCGAGCTGGGCGCGGGCGAGCGGCGGCCGCGCGTGTCGGTGGTGTCGCGCGGCGTGGGCGGGCGCGCCGCGTTCTCCTGCCCCGCCGGCTGGGCGCTGCGCGGCGCGCCCGAGACCGTCTGCCTGCCCGCCGCCGACTGGGCGCGCCCCTTCCCCGTCTGCACAGGTACCCCACCACCCACCATCCACTGCACACGAGACCGTCTGCCTGCCGGCCGCCGACTGGGCGCGCCCCTTCCCCGTCTGCACAGGTACCCCACCACCCACCATCCACTGCACACGAGACCGTCTGCCTGCCGGCCGCCGACTGGGCGCGCCCCTTCCCCGTCTGCACAGGTACCCCACCACCCACCATCCACTGCACACGAGACCGTCTGCCTGCCGGCCGCCGACTGGGCGCGCCCCTTCCCCGTCTGCACAGGTACCCCACCACCCACCATCCACTGCACACGAGACCGTCTGCCTGCCGGCCGCCGACTGGGCGCGCCCCTTCCCCGTCTGCACAGGTACCCCACCACCCACCATCCACTGCACACGAGACCGTCTGCCTGCCGGCCGCCGACTGGGCGCGCCCCTTCCCCGTCTGCACAGGTACCCCACCACCCACCATCCACTGCACACGAGACCGTCTGCCTGCCGGCCGCCGACTGGGCGCGCCCCTTCCCCGTCTGCACAGGTACCCCACCACCCACCATCCACTGCACACGAGACCGTCTGCCTGCCGGCCGCCGACTGGGCGCGCCCCTTCCCCGTCTGCACAGGTACCCCACCACCCACCATCCACTGCACACGAGACCGTCTGCCTGCCGGCCGCCGACTGGGCGCGCCCCTTCCCCGTCTGCACAGGTACCCCACCACCCACCATCCACTGCACACGAGACCGTCTGCCTGCCGGCCGCCGACTGGGCGCGCCCCTTCCCCGTCTGCACAGGTACCCCACCACCCACCATCCACTGCACACGAGACCGTCTGCCTGCCGGCCGCCGACTGGGCGCGCCCCTTCCCCGTCTGCACAGGTACCCCACCACCCACCATCCACTGCACACGAGACCGTCTGCCTGCCGGCCGCCGACTGGGCGCGCCCCTTCCCCGTCTGCACAGGTACCCCACCACCCACCATCTACTGCACACGAGACCGTCTGCCTGCCGGCCGCCGACTGGGCGCGCCCCTTCCCCGTCTGCACAGGTACCCCACCACCCACCATCCACTGCACACGAGACCGTCTGCCTGCCGGCCGCCGACTGGGCGCGCCCCTTCCCCGTCTGCACAGGTACCCCACCACCCACCATCCACTGCACACGAGACCGTCTGCCTGCCGGCCGCCGACTGGGCGCGCCCCTTCCCCGTCTGCACAGGTACCCCACCACCCACCATCCACTGCACACGAGACCGTCTGCCTGCCGGCCGCCGACTGGGCGCGCCCCTTCCCCGTCTGCACAGGTACCCCACCACCCACCATCCACTGCACACGAGACCGTCTGCCTGCCGGCCGCCGACTGGGCGCGCCCCTTCCCCGTCTGCACAGGTACCCCACCACCCACCATCCACTGCACACGAGACCGTCTGCCTGCCGGCCGCCGACTGGGCGCGCCCCTTCCCCGTCTGCACAGGTACCCCACCACCCACCATCCACTGCACACGAGACCGTCTGCCTGCCGGCCGCCGACTGGGCGCGCCCCTTCCCCGTCTGCACAGGTACCCCACCACCCACCATCCACTGCACACGAGACCGTCTGCCTGCCGGCCGCCGACTGGGCGCGCCCCTTCCCCGTCTGCACAGGTACCCCACCACCCACCATCCACTGCACACGAGACCGTCTGCCTGCCGGCCGCCGACTGGGCGCGCCCCTTCCCCGTCTGCACAGGTACCCCACCACCCACCATCCACTGCACACGAGACCGTCTGCCTGCCGGCCGCCGACTGGGCGCGCCCCTTCCCCGTCTGCACAGGTACCCCACCACCCACCATCCACTGCACACGAGACCGTCTGCCTGCCGGCCGCCGACTGGGCGCGCCCCTTCCCCGTCTGCACAGGTACCCCACCACCCACCATCCACTGCACACGAGACCGTCTGCCTGCCGGCCGCCGACTGGGCGCGCCCCTTCCCCGTCTGCACAGGTACCCCACCACCCACCATCCACTGCACACGAGACCGTCTGCCTGCCGGCCGCCGACTGGGCGCGCCCCTTCCCCGTCTGCACAGGTACCCCACCACCCACCATCCACTGCACACGAGACCGTCTGCCTGCCGGCCGCCGACTGGGCGCGCCCCTTCCCCGTCTGCACAGGTACCCCACCACCCACCATCCACTGCACACGAGACCGTCTGCCTGCCGGCCGCCGACTGGGCGCGCCCCTTCCCCGTCTGCACAGGTACCCCACCACCCACCATCCACTGCACACGAGACCGTCTGCCTGCCGGCCGCCGACTGGGCGCGCCCCTTCCCCGTCTGCACAGGTACCCCACCACCCACCATCCACTGCACACGAGACCGTCTGCCTGCCGGCCGCCGACTGGGCGCGCCCCTTCCCCGTCTGCACAGGTACCCCACCACCCACCATCCACTGCACACGAGACCGTCTGCCTGCCGGCCGCCGACTGGGCGCGCCCCTTCCCCGTCTGCACAGGTACCCCACCACCCACCATCCACTGCACACGAGACCGTCTGCCTGCCGGCCGCCGACTGGGCGCGCCCCTTCCCCGTCTGCACAGGTACCCCACCACCCACCATCCACTGCACACGAGACCGTCTGCCTGCCGGCCGCCGACTGGGCGCGCCCCTTCCCCGTCTGCACAGGTACCCCACCACCCACCATCCACTGCACACGAGACCGTCTGCCTGCCGGCCGCCGACTGGGCGCGCCCCTTCCCCGTCTGCACAGGTACCCCACCACCCACCATCCACTGCACACGAGACCGTCTGCCTGCCGGCCGCCGACTGGGCGCGCCCCTTCCCCGTCTGCACAGGTACCCCACCACCCACCATCCACTGCACACGAGACCGTCTGCCTGCCGGCCGCCGACTGGGCGCGCCCCTTCCCCGTCTGCACAGGTACCCCACCACCCACCATCCACTGCACACGAGACCGTCTGCCTGCCGGCCGCCGACTGGGCGCGCCCCTTCCCCGTCTGCACAGGTACCCCACCACCCACCATCCACTGCACACGAGACCGTCTGCCTGCCGGCCGCCGACTGGGCGCGCCCCTTCCCCGTCTGCACAGGTACCCCACCACCCACCATCCACTGCACACGAGACCGTCTGCCTGCCGGCCGCCGACTGGGCGCGCCCCTTCCCCGTCTGCACAGGTACCCCACCACCCACCATCCACTGCACACGAGACCGTCTGCCTGCCGGCCGCCGACTGGGCGCGCCCCTTCCCCGTCTGCACAGGTACCCCACCACCCACCATCCACTGCACACGAGACCGTCTGCCTGCCGGCCGCCGACTGGGCGCGCCCCTTCCCCGTCTGCACAGGTACCCCACCACCCACCATCCACTGCACACGAGACCGTCTGCCTGCCGGCCGCCGACTGGGCGCGCCCCTTCCCCGTCTGCACAGGTACCCCACCACCCACCATCCACTGCACACGAGACCGTCTGCCTGCCGGCCGCCGACTGGGCGCGCCCCTTCCCCGTCTGCACAGGTACCCCACCACCCACCATCCACTGCACACGAGACCGTCTGCCTGCCGGCCGCCGACTGGGCGCGCCCCTTCCCCGTCTGCACAGGTACCCCACCACCCACCATCCACTGCACACGAGACCGTCTGCCTGCCGGCCGCCGACTGGGCGCGCCCCTTCCCCGTCTGCACAGGTACCCCACCACCCACCATCCACTGCACACGAGACCGTCTGCCTGCCGGCCGCCGACTGGGCGCGCCCCTTCCCCGTCTGCACAGGTACCCCACCACCCACCATCCACTGCACACGAGACCGTCTGCCTGCCGGCCGCCGACTGGGCGCGCCCCTTCCCCGTCTGCACAGGTACCCCACCACCCACCATCCACTGCACACGAGACCGTCTGCCTGCCGGCCGCCGACTGGGCGCGCCCCTTCCCCGTCTGCACAGGTACCCCACCACCCACCATCCACTGCACACGAGACCGTCTGCCTGCCGGCCGCCGACTGGGCGCGCCCCTTCCCCGTCTGCACAGGTACCCCACCACCCACCATCCACTGCACACGAGACCGTCTGCCTGCCGGCCGCCGACTGGGCGCGCCCCTTCCCCGTCTGCACAAGTACCGTATTGCCGAACTTCACATGTCTTCGAAAAATTTTGAAGTTATACTTCGTTTGGGGCGCTTGGGGTGATGAGAGTGGATTTTTTACGATGCGCACGCACACCGACAGCTAAAAACGGCAAATTCAGTGGGTAATTGTTTCTCAAGTTTTTTTTTGTTTTGTTACGCTAAAGAAGTATAACTTCCTACGTGCGTACATAAGTACACACACTTTTTTTTCTTATTTCTCAGACATGCAGGTCTCCTCACCATGTTTTCCTTCACGTGGTAAATCAGCACTTAAAATTGCAATTAACAATTTCATTGGTGCCGGCGAGAAACAAACCCGGGTTGCTCGCGTACTGTGAAATTTACAGCGAGTGCTAACCATCTGAGCGACCACGGCTCTAAAAAAACGAGTATAGTATCCAAACGGAATCCTAGACAGAAAAAGAAGATAATTTAAAAGATAGGAATGATAAACAACACAGCAACAACAGTTTCTTGTCGCTTAAGGGACTTAAAGTTCTCCCGCAGTAGGGACTTGAAGAGATGAAAATGTAGTGACATGTTTTTATGCCGCCAACGACATTACTATAATTTTTAAGGAATCATAATAGACAACAAACAGAATTATCTTCTTTACGTTGTAGAGCCATGCTGCAGCTATATTAATAGTATAGTTGTAGCACGAATGGGTCGGCTCGACCGGGGAAGAACCACGCTCTCACAGAATACCAGCGTAAAATAGCAGCTGTACACTGCTGTGTTTCGTATGGTGAGTGTAGAAAACCGGAGACCCTTTTTACTGGAAAGGAGGCATTCCATCTTAGTCCTCACGGGTGACAACGCATCTGCATTTTGATTTGTAAAAAGGATAGATGTCCCAACCACTTACCATCAGGTGGACTGTGTGCTCGTTTGTCACCCTTATCCTATAAAAAAAAATTCTGACGACTCGTAAATAAATTCTTTGCAGAGGTATCCTGCCCAGCATTACCTCCACCAGCATCGGGTTACGTTCTCGGCCGAGCACCGTACAGAGCTGGTGACGTCTTACAGTTCCACTGCAACCCTGAACACACACTGCACGGAAGACCGATTCTGGTGTGCCAGGACAGTGGTCGGTGGAGCGATAAGCCGCCGACTTGTGAGTAGAAGACGAATGTAAATAAAGTATTATGTTGCTTTGACTGAATAAACGCATTTGACAAACAGAAAGTCATTTTAATCATGTACATTGCTTTTCTTTTTTTTTTGTATTGCATTTTTGCCCCCTTGTCAGACATCCCCAACCTTTGGAACTTAAAACGATTTTTAATTTATGTCACCCCAAATTTTCTAATTATGCGTATTGTAAACATCATCAGAATTACAGAAAATATTATAATGAAAATATTTTCTGCAATTAAATCACACATAATTATTACATTCTTTTTAATTTCATATTCGCAGTAAATCCAAAAATGCTGATTTATATGACAGATAAATTAAAGCAACTCTTATAAGAAAATATTTACCCCCTTTATTTCTAAACCGAAACAGAATCGATTAATTGGCTTTACTTTTATGCTGGAGAAATTCGCCTTAAAATTATCCATTTTCGTTGCATATCACTAGGTGCCCAAGCATGTACATACCCTGGAACAACTATATCAGGGCGCATGTCTTCCGTGAAGTTCTACTACAAAATCGGTGAGACAGTCACCTTCACCTGCGAACCAGGGTACAGAATTAAGGGGGCTCCAATGCTGCGTTGTCTTAAGTAAGTGTATTGAAATTTTAATTCCAGGTAAATAATGTTTATTATACTTGAAAATGTTTTTATCCAACCTAAAAAGGCCATTATCGACCGTTTAATTAATATTCTTGAACTCCAATCCCAAATTAACATGAAGGCATCATGGCTAATTAACATTTGTCTTCCTTTGTTACTTCTAAAAAATGTTGAAATACATTGTTTATAATAGGGTATGTAACATTTATAAATCTGCGTAATTTTTCTGAAACTATCAGAGTTGTATTGCAATGTTTTTGAAATTTCTAATTATTTTGTCTCAAGTGTTTAACTTTTAACTTTGTATAAAAATTAATATTTTTAATATAAGCATATTTATTTGTACAATTTGGGATAAATATGCTTTTTTATAATAGAACCGTAATTTTTTTTGTTTCATATAATAAAATGGTTTGATTATTTTTTTCTAATACTAATTAATATTTCAGAAACAGAAAATGGTCGAACGCTATACCACTATGCACTCCGATAGCCAACTACACCTCATCCGACTCCCTCGCTATGTTAAATGGCGACATTGACGCCATGTTGTCGGACGAAGCCATCATGCCAACTGACATTTTGAAAACGCGGGAAACGCCCGCCATCTTGTCACCAGAAAGCTATAAAGCGGCTATGACTCGAGTAACAGCAACACGACTCTTGCGAAGGGCCCCGATCGAAACTTACAAAAACAGAATTTCTAGGGTGAATAGATTTTTACGCAGGAATACAGAAAGATAATTTCAATAACTATTATAACTGGTGAGAATTATTATTATTATTATAAAAGGGAAATTCTCTTTTGTTATGTCCATTTGTCAATTTATTTTGAATTGTTATTAAAATACTTAAGATTAAACAAAAATATTGAGCTATGTTAAAGTTACGTCACTATTGTATTAATTAATTATTTGTTTGATAATGGTTAGTAAAATAGTAAAGACTTCTATGTGTACTACTTGATCGACATTTCATAATAATAACCATGTCACAGCTGTGAATTCAGAAAATGTGTAGCGAGATAGCGAGATGGATAAATTGATATCAGTTGTATTTTAATTTATGACAGTTACTGGTTTTTGGCAAATAAGACATAAAGTTTACTATATAATTAGGCAAATACGACATACCTATCTGAAATAAACTTGAAATCACGTTGGCAAAGTGTGAGTTTTCTTAGTCACATTAAACAAAATCAGTGTTAGATTTGATTAGATCACGGTTTACAAAACAAAAAACTTGTCTTCTCGCATGCTCGCAGTCTACTAGGCGTGTGTATCTCTTTACGGAAACGACTCACTGATCCGAATCACTGAAGTGTCACAAAAGATTAGTTCAGTAACAACGTTTCAAATGTATCATTTGGATCTGGAACAGTGAAATATTACTTTGCTCTTTGCTCATTTCGCGCGACGCGTCGCTATCGAGGCGACTGAGCCACGAGCGAGAGAGACAGACTGAGACAATGATTAACTTAACTATTGACTCACGAGTGGCGAGTGAGCGGGCGAAATAATCATAATCCACACAAGTCAGATAGAGATAACAAATAAGAAGTGTATCACTCAACTCGTACGGATTTTCGCTGACGTTATTCATGCACGTAAAAATTACCACTAAGGCGCTTACGTGTCAAATAGTATACGGTACCGTTTTTGTATGTAATGTTTGCATTAACAAGTTGTCATTTTACGTTGATGCGGCACTTGTCAAATTGTTTATATTCATTAGATTCGTGTAGAATCTACTAGTTAGTCTGTGATTCATTAGCGCCTGTTTACGAAAACATACTGAGTTATGTTTACAATTTCTTTGCGTAGTGATTATTGTGACTTTACTTTCTTCCTTTTCATCATAAAGTTTAAAGTTATGATACTTTGCGAGAAAATTCTGTGTACATAGACATTGCTGTTTTGTGTAAATGGACATTTTTGTAAATAATGAATTGACATAGTGGCATTTTTGTTAAAGTATGAAGGAGAATCGATTTTATATACAATCTTATTACGGTACACAATAAATAATCTAAGCACTTATATTATTCAGCATTGTTGCCACATAACATTTCACGGATCAGTCAGTAATAAACGCCCGCGACGCAACTTAATGTATTCGGAACATTCTTTCTTTTATATCTTTTGAGTCGATGATACAAATGAGCCAAATGAAACATATCAGTGTTTCGGAACATTTCATTGATCAAGATGCAAATGTTCCAATCCCAAAAATTATACACCTTGCCCACCTCCACAGTCGACTAAAGAAGTTACGGCGAATAGATCTTAACTTAGTGCGCAATATATTAACGCCGCAGAGTCTATCTAGTAGTTTACATATAAATCTTTGTAAAATAGGGTACAAAACGAGTAGAAAATATCTAAAAGGTTTTTCGATTACTTATCCCAATGTGGTCACAATTATGTATCAAAATCACAGAACACTATGAACCCTGGCGGAGATCTAATTGATGTTATAACGTTTCTTTTTCATCCAACTATATATTGAAATAAGGCTTAGCTTAACAATTATACTATAAAAATATATTAAACTAGCTTTAGGCTTTTGGCCTAATCTAAATACCCACGACAACCATAAACAATCATCGTATTTCCATAATCAAAGTACATTATATCATTTAAAACTTGACTTGTTTAGTTTTTACCGATAATATTGTAAGTATATTTTTTCATAGCTTGAATTTGAATAATGTTTTATTTTTTGGGTTTAAGTTAAATAAATATACAATACGATAAAGAAGGATTTGACGAACATGAAATGTAAGTATTAAGAGGTACTCCGTAGAAAATTTAGGAACTAGATAAGTACCTATTGTATTCACAGACTATAATAAGATTCATTCCGAATAACGCTATTGTGTTGTTTTTTTTTTTCTTTATTTTAAACAAATGTTACTAAATATTAAAAGTCTATTTAGTTATCTGTAAAGATTATTGTTATTTACGTTTTCTTGTGTGTTACTGAATTGTAAATAATATCTCTTTGCCAAAGATAAACGTAGTATATTGTTATAAATAGTCCAATTTATTATGTAGATATAATGTTTAAGTAAATAATTAAATAGATTAAAATTACAATAATTGTAATAATTCGCTAGTTAATTAACTAAAATACGTTTAAAGAAATAAAGATAAATGCTAACTCTGTAATACCACGCACAAATATTTAGAGAAAATTTTGAATCCTTACCTTCGAATAATTCGTAAGAGTTTCAACTCAAGTTCAACAGAATCACGTGTGAGTAACTTTATGCAATTAATTAGACTTTACAATAACTTAAATTAAACATTTAAAACCTACGAAAAAAAAAGAGCCGATTGTTTTGAAACATACATAAGAACACTCTCGATTAGGACACCTCAATTGAAAAAATACAAAAATCTAAAAAAATTAATAATAATAAAAACTATAGTGCCACATACACACACACAGATACACACTACTAATTTATAACACCTCTTTGTTTTAGTGGGGGGTTAATAAAATAGCAGTTTACCGTAGTCAAATCTTATATCAAAACAAAGGAAAATATATGAAACGCTGCGTCTATTCATTTGATGCTGAAACTATGCTCAACTTCTTGACTCGCAGTCACACACACGTCTTTCTTTATTTATCAGCCCGAAAAAGTATACATAATGGAGATGGCTCTCTTTGTCTGGGCCAATCCAACCTATTTCCATGGTCATCTGACAAAGTAACGCGCAAACGTCGTGATGGAAGTAAATTGTGCTTGCAACAAGCAAGAACTGTTCTGCTAAGAAAGAGTGTAGTATGCATGGCTCCTAAAATCTATAATAAAATTCCTCAGATGTATAAATCACTGAACAGCAATCTTTTTTAAAATAAATTCAAAAACCTTTTAATTGATAAATGATACTGTAACAAGACTGTAACTGTCTTTCGACTGTTGTAAGTAATAGACTTTGCTAATGTTAAATGAAAACTAACAATCTAACATCATTTTCTTTCGCGTTTACCACGGAGAGTACTCTGAGGAATTGTATGGATTAATCACAGCCGCCAAATTTCACAAAGGCACATCGCGGCAGAACTCCTGATACGATCCACACCATTTGAATGATTGGCGGTCCACCACTGCGCGATTTAGAAGATGTTTTCTTCCTCGCACAACCATCAATTACCACCAGCGATTTTTCCGGACCGATACGACTTAGGGACATTCAAGAAAAGAGCCTACTTCTTTTTAAAAGGCTGGCAACGCATCTGCGATTCCCCTGGCTCCCCTGGTGTAGCAGTTGTTCATGGGCGGCGGTAGTCACTTACCATCAGGTGAGCCGCATGCTCGTTTGCCCCTCTCCTAAAAAAAGCCTTATTTACTCGTATTTTCAAAAATTGCAATAACGGTATATTATCATTATTTATATACTTGAACTTAAGTTTAAAATTTTTCTATTCTTCGAAAAATAAACATGTATATCAACCAAAAAATAATAAATAAAACTTTATTTTACCCTTTTGTTTTTTTTCTACATATTTTTTGTTTTTCTGTGAAGGTTAAGTGTGAAAGTACTATTAGGACGTTCGAGCGACACGTGACGAGTTTTTCTCGAACTTTCTTGAGTTGAAACAAAATTTGCATATCAAACGTTCATCTAATGCATGGTACCATATATTTCGATGAAAAAAATTGCACACATACGTGTTTTACTCATGTATACGTTATACTGGAAATGTTTATAATTAATCTGTCCTTTAAAAAAAGAATTAAACAGCGATGTCATAATTAACTTGTATTTTATTTTTCCTGTTCATACTATCTTCTTGACCCAAAGGTTTTGCATATGATCAAATAAAAAGGAATTTATTATTTTATTTTATACTAGCTGTACCCGGCCGCGCGTTACTGTGGCTCAATCTGTAAGTATTTCTATGATGTCGAACAGAGGTATTGTGTTTTAATAAGTATTTAAAAACAAGATCATATCCGAACCCAAAATTACAAAAACTCTGAAAGGACAATGTTAAAACTCGCCTAAGAACCAACATATATTTGACAATTACCAATATTCTTATCCTTAATTATGCATTAGATAACATTCATTAGATAGTAACGGACACTTCTGACTTGTGAAATCAAAATGAAAAGGACTTTTTCGATTTTGAACTTTGTATAACTTTGTATAATATATCTAGCTATTATTTATCTATGGTGGCACTATACCTATTTTTTAATACTATTGTGCTGCGTTTATGGCCTCCTGTGATTTGGCCATTCGCACAATACCTTCACTCACATGTTTCAAAAGTTGTCATAAACTCAAATATATTATGAAAACGTTTATATTTTAAAATATGTCTCAGATTAATATATGCCACAAGGAACTGGGGTACAGTGTAATCATCTATTTTCATTTAAAATGACAATACTATTGTCATCTCATTGGCAAATCAGCATTTGCCACGCAAAAAAAAGTCAATAACGTTGACAGATGACAACAAGTCAAAATAGATAAACGTCAGACGTGCTATTGTTTTGGTTTCGAAATACATTTCTGTAAATGTTTTAGGAATCTAAGTGCACTCTGTAGTTGGTTTGTTATGCGATAAGTTTATATAAATTACTAACAACGGCTTGAACAACGGATATCGATACTCTTCTTTAGCGACCTACCTGGCTTGAATCAGGGACTTTAACCAAATGAGACTGTATATGTCATTGAGTTATATGTACTATGGTATATGTTGTATTTATTTGGTAT